GATGGACGACTCGAGATGTGTGTGTCAGTACAGCGGTGGGCTTTATTTCGGCTGTTACTGGAGTGTTTGTATTGTTAATAAGAGTGTCGTGAAGGACGCTGGATGTGAATAAGGATGACTTTACCTTTGCATGCTGGATTTTAAGCATGAGACGATGGAGAATGCCTGTGGTTTTTGGAGACAAACAGATTTTCTGATGGAAGGCAGATATTTCCTCGGTTTCCTGTTGGAGTTGGGTCACACAAGGGCTTCCTGTGAGACTGTGCTGACTAGACAGACACACACACACACACATTACAGTATAGTGTAGTGCAGATGTATACACAGGAAGAAGTCATCTTATGCTTGAATGCTCAAACTTGAAAGCCGTCGCACACACACGCATTCATTCATTATTTATTTGATGTAAACAGCATGATCTGTCGTGACAGGATGAAGGATTAATGGGATAGTTCACCCAAAAATGAATCCCATAATTTATTCACCCTCAATTTATCCTAGGTGTGCAAGACTTCCTTCTTTCAGCCAAACACAATCAAACTTATTTAACAAATATACCGGCTCTTCCCAGCTTTATAATGGGAGTGAACGGTACACTGTAAAAACTAATATACTATATGTCTGTCAAATCAACTTAGTTAATGAATGTGGTTCGATAGCATAATATTTTATACAACAAATATCTCCTTTGTTGTATTCACTCAATTTTTTTATTTCAATTAACTCAAAATTTTAAGGCAACTAGGTAACTTGTTTAAGTTAAACCAACAATTTTTTTATTTATTTGAAAACCCAAACAATGCATCCATCATTCATAAAAATAATCCATACGACTCCAGGAGATTAATAAAGGCCTAAGTGATTCTGTAATAAAAATATGCATATTAATTACTTTATAAACTATAATCCCTGGTTTCCGTACAGGAGTCAAGTTACGGCGTATGATGGATGCATGATTGATTGTTTAATTAAATATTTTGGCTAATTTTCAAGTAATTTGGACAAAATATAATATGACTTTTGTGAAAACGTATAATTTTCCCCCTTTTTTTGTACCTGTAATCCTGGTTAAATTATTATTATTACTATTATTAGTATTATTATTACAATAGCTCAAACAAGATCATAGGTTTGATTCCCAGGAAGCATCGCTTTGGATAAAAATGTCTGCCAAATGCATAAATATATACATTATTATTTCACATATTAATATTGATGAATACACTGTAAAAAAAAAATCTAATCACAACATTTTTTCTTTTGTCAAATCAACTTAGATAATTTATGTAGTTCAGAGAACATAATATTTTGAGTTTCTAGTGATTAAATGAATCTCCTTCATTGTATTAACTCAATTTTTGCCATTTCAATGAACTTAAAATTTTAAGGCAACCAGATTACTTATTTTTCTAATTTAAACCAACAATATTTTTTTACAGTGTAGAAATGTTTATCTGTAAGATGGTTTTATCTTCTTGACTGTATTGTTATCAGCACATCTAATGCAAAAGCTGAAGTGAATTTGCCCCAAATAATGTTGAATCAGTTGATTTATCAAAATAATTGTTCACTGTAACTGTAGCCAATAGGAGTGAACCGTCTCATTTTACCATGTTTAAATCCGGTCCACTGAATTCTCCATAAAATCAGCACAGATAAATATACAATATATATGAGGTTAGAGCTATTTTTAATCTGGGAATAAACCAAGAGAACTTTATAAATGAATATCTTGTTAAAATTGTTGATTAAATATGTATAAACATCCTGATTCAGCTTTTAAAGAAAGCCACCCGAGGGTGATTCTGGACCAGGCATGAATGTGAGCGGTAGTTGTTTTGTTGAGTCAAACACACACATTCTCTCAGTGGTCTGATGAGGTCAGCCACACACTGTGTGTTTTTGTTGTGGGCTAATGGAGCGTGAAACAGAGCCATGTGGTTCTGACATCGCATCGCCGCCTCCTGATAATATACACACACACACGTGTGCACGCGTGCCCTGGAGAGAAACTATCATCTGAATCCTGCACACAGCTCTCTGAGAGCAGAGGTCAAGAGAAGAGAGGGTTTTATATAGCACAGCTGATGCAAACCATTGCAATCATGGCACTAGCGTGAGAATCCCACAGCAAGCTCAGTCTGTCACACGACAACCACAGGAAAGACTATCCAGACATCTGAGATTCTTTTCTAATTGCATTTATTTTTTGCCTAATGTCGTATACTAAACACAAAGCTTTTGATTGTCTTAACCACAATGCTTTTGGCCAAATTTAAGCAAAAGCCATTGCCGTCTCAGAAATGAAGTTCTTGGCTAGTGTGTGGAGTGATTGCGCACTGAAACACGAGTTTGAATGCTTCGGAGTGCAGGAGAATATTGCTGACTGTCTTGCTTGCCACAAATTCAATTCAATTCTAATTTATTTGTATAGTGCTTTTCACTAGGGGTCCACGATATATCGGCCACCATATCGGTATCGGCCGATATTTGCTCATTTTTATGTTATCGTTATCGGCCCGATAATAAAATTTGGCTGATGTATTAAAGCTGATAAATAATGAATTATTTCCTTCAACACTTGACACCTGAGACAATTAAGATGCTTGAAATATGATTGGAATCGAAAAGGAAAATATAGTTAAGTGCAAAATGTGCTGTCATATCGGTAGGGCTGGGTAATAAATATCGATTTCTCGATATTAATCGATTCTCATTTTTACGAACCGATATCGATTCTTAAGTCTCAACAATTGATTATTCATCCTGTTTCATTTGAATGAATGGGATATTTTATCGCGGCTGCACCCATAAAAAAAAGCGCAATAATCTTTGTCCTTTGTTACTATTGATATGAAACAAAGTCTCAATTTTCAAATTACGTCCATTTTCTTTAGAAATTCAAAAACATAAATAATGTTTTGGCGCTGTGGCGTGAGATCGCTCTAGAGAAGCAGCAGCGCTGATCTCTCTTCCGACTTAATAATATCAGTCACAGCACCAAATAAACATGAATGAGCATCTGAAAGTGTGTTAAAGATAGAGTACAACTTATCGAAATCCGTATCATGTCACATTGATTCGCTCAATCAGCGTTTCAACCGTGGAAAGACGTCAGTTAAACAGCTTGTAATCAATGTATCGTCATATTTACCTCAGAAAACCCACATAAACTCGTTAGTCAGCTAGAAAAAATAACTCCAGAGAGGAGCATTTTACTAAATATATAGCCACCATTTAAATGTTTATATTTCATATAATCTTCTTATTATAAAAATAAATAAAAGTGTAATTTAAGTGATTCATTCATTATTAGCCTACCTTCATATTTGAATAAATCTTGCAAGTTTTTTATGACAGCCACCATTTAAATGTTTATAGATATCGGCTACATGAAATTATAATGAGAACATTATAATTGTGTTAGGGGATGGATTTTAATTGTGAGACTTTTGTTTTTGCAATCAGGCTTTCAAAAATTAAATAAAAATTGGATTTAGATTTATCGGCCGATATTATCGGTTATCGGCTTTCGAATATAAAGAATTATTGGTTATCGGTATCGGCCAAAATGTTGTTTCAAAGCAGCTTTACAGAAAGTGCAATTCAGAAATGTGCATAGAAAAAATACAGTTAGTTAGTCATGTATTCGATTAGGACAACACATCGCCGGCGTCGGGTCGTCTCTTCACAGGTGTTTGGGGATCTGAAGTCTCCGTGAGAGGCTGGATACAATCTGGAGCTGACGAACGCTATTTACCACAGCAGAATAGCAGATGGGGAATAATTAGCATAGCTGCTGTTCATAATATTACTGCATTCCATCTGATTCAACTGTGCTATAAAAGCATTATGTGAATGCTTGGCTAAAGAGATGCGTCTTTAATCTAGTTTTAAACTGGGACAGCGAATCTGAGCCTCGAACAATATCAGGAAGGCTATTCCAGAGCTAAATGTGAGAACGCCCTCCCTCCTTTAGTGGACTGAGATATCCTAGCAATGACCAGAAGCTTTGAATTTAGTGATCTTAAAGAGCGTTATTGTAGGGCGATAGAAGGTCCATTAAAGGGATAGTTCACTTTAAAATTAATTTTTAGTAGGGCATCCAAGATGTAGGTGTCTTTGTTTCCGCAGTAGTTTCAATTTTGATATTTTTAGGTCAAACCGTTCTTGTCTGTCAGTCATATAATGGAGGTCTATGGTTACCACCTCAAAGAGCATGCACAGAGAAGTCCAAATGAAACATGATTTAATGACTCGTAAATGTAAGTACACATTGATGGCCTAAGACACGAAACGAGCGAAGAGTATTTTCTCACACAAACCGCTCGTTTCGTGTCTTAAATCATGTTTAATTTGGACTTCTCTGTGCGTGCTCTTTGAGGTGGTGACCATTGACCTGCTTTATATGACTTTTCTAATAATACAAAGCTTAATGCTAAATCCTGAAGTATCCCTTTAAGATTACAGACTGGAGATATCATGTTGTTTTCTTGAATCATCAATAAATCAGAGCACTAATCCAGTTACGTTGTCTGAATGCTGCCTCTCTTTACTGCCTATTCTGTCTCTGTCTTCCCTGATCTTTGATCAGGTAATTTCATTAGTTCAAGCATGTAAACGTCATAGAAATCAGTAGAATCTTTAATCACAAGTGTCTGGAAATTTCTGTTCTGAAAGTTATGTTCAGCTTAAAAAAAAATCATAATTTCTATGAATTAATCATTGCAACACTTTACATTAAGGTTTTTACAGTAAAGTGTTTGTTTTTCTGTTACAATGGAAAGCTTATTGTAAAGTGCTACTATTATTATAATATATATATATATATATATATATATAAAGCTTATCCAATTGGACAATTCATGGATATTAAAGGCAAAAAAGTGTGGGAAGGTTTACAGTAAAGTACTGTAAATGGCCCAACATGTTCCCTAGATCTCAATCATTGTTTTGAGGTATAAGAGGGGCTAAGAGTGTGTGTGTTGTGTGTCTTGCAGGTCAGACCGCACTGCGTGAGGCTTATTCAATGTCCTGCATCGCCAACGGCAGTTCCAGCGGCCGCAAATCTCACAGAGATACTTCCACAGTGTCTATAGCCAAGAAAGAGACACTCTCCTCCGCCGCCAAAAGGTAACACACACACACACACACATAACTGAAACATGAAATTGATCCTCTACACGTTCTGAATGTCTCCCTTCTCGGACCCGCTTCAGCTCGTGATGATTTGAGCCAGGTGTGTGTGGTTAGTGGATTTGGGAGATAATCACAATGAGCAGAAGTGGCGAAGCTCCAGGACGGGGTTGGGAAACACTGCACTAATCGCATCTTTTTCTTTACGTTTTGACCTTGAGTTCACACTGAGACGGCGTAGCCTACTAGCCACTTTGGTGGGTTGAATTATATATCTAATGTATACATTTTCTAATTGTAGTCTTTTATAAAGGCATCTATTTAGTGCGGTCAAAAACATTGATTTTTCAATAAATATCGATACTAAAGTATCTAAAACACTTCCAATACTCATTTTTCGCAGAATAGAAACACAATACCAGCTGTGCTTTCTCACACAAATATTTTTTGGTGTAACAGGGCTTGAAGTTTTCTGTGGGATTGCGCATCATTTTACTCGCTCTTGCAGATTTTCTGTGTGCATAAATCCGCCTCAGTGCAAAATTGAGTTATTTTTCGCTGCTTATTGTACTTAAACAGTCAAATCCACTCAAAATAATGTCAAAATGGCGGTCTTGGTGAGTCTTCACGTAAACAGTCAGTTATGTTTGAAGTGAATGTAAATACATGGGAAAGAAAACGCTTGTGTAACAGTATAAGAGATCCCTGCGTCGGGTCTTAAAGTGACAGCAGCCTAATATACCTACTGCCAAATTATGAGATAAATATATATATATATATATATATATATATATATATATATATATTGGTATAGATGGTATAGATGCCAAAATTGTTACCAGCTAAAATGTGTCTAGTAACTTTGGAAAACCCAGATCAAGCCCTGGATAGATATCTAATCTGTTTAAATGTTTTATGATTTGTATATGTGGCTGCATATATGTGCTAAAGATAAATTGTTGTGCAATCTTTATATTACATTCCTGGAAAGATGATGGAGCTTGACCTGAATGAGATATTTTGCTGATAAAAGGATCATGCCAGAAGAATAGTGTGAGAACTTTATGTCGGTATAATCTCAGTGTTTTACACATGCAGGTTATGGTGATTTTCCGACGTTTCAGTGTGCTTAAATGCTTGAAACACTAGAGAGCGTTTAGAGACGCAAATGCAGTTTTCAAGCTTATCCGGATGAATGTAGACATAGCCTTGAAATAAAAGTAAACACAATTATTTTTTAATAGATAAGTACATTTAAAGGGGTCATGAACTGGCTTTTTAAATTTTATTATATTGTTGTCTGAGGTCAACTTATGACGTTCGCTTGGTTTTTGCATTCAAAAACATTGAAATGAATAAGTAATAGGCCATTTTGTACCCTAGTTTTGAGCAACACTATCTCACGACCAATTCGTATGAATTCGACGAATGATTAAAAAGTGTCTAATTCGTACGACCTCACTCGTACGATTTGTCTAAACCCACGTGATGGTTCGGTTTAGGGACGGGGTAAGGGGTCGGTCATTCGTATGAATTCATACGAGTTGACCAATCCGTAAAATATGTACGATTTAGCAAAATCGTACGAGTGAGGTCGTATGAATTGTTACGATTTAGCCACTTTTTAATCATTCGTCGAATTCGTGGTCGTGAGATCGGGTTGGTTTTGAGCCTAGCTGAAAAACGCTGGGTTTTTATGGGCGTCTCGCACTGAAAACTTGGAAGTAAACGCCCACTGCTGTGAGTGGATAACAGTTTTCCATATTATAATGAGTTTCAACTCACCCATCGAAAAAATCTGGAAATTGTTTTGAAAACGTCCAATTTTATAAAATGGCGACCAGAATGATTCGCCCATACATGTTCGACCCAGAGTCAGAGTCAACCCACTTTGAAAAACGAGTTGTTTGCTGAGGCTGGTGTCAATAAAAGCTCTCACTGGACTAACAAGTTCTGAAACTTACAGGATATTCTTATAATATGATGACCTCTTTGATGTCAAAAGCTCAAGGAAAATTTGATTTCTCAGTTCATCACCCCTTTAAAACTAGGCCCATACTGTCTTCTCTTGTGGGAAAATGATGACGAGCCAATGTTGTCGACTGTTCATTGTTCAAATGTTTAATGTGTGATGATATATATTCATCTGAATGTGTCCGTGTCGAGCCGCTCGGGTCTCCTCATCTTTTCATGTGTGTCAGGACTTACCTGCATGTTATTTTCACAGTGGCGGAGAGCGGAAAAAAGACAAGCCTCTGATGGAGGGGATCAAGGAGAAAGAGGAGACTAATGATAAAGCGCCCTCAGCGCCCAGCACCCCTTCCAGCAACCCCCCCTCCCCTCATCCCCCACAGCCCCAAAGACAAGTCTCGGAGAACAAGGGCTCGACCCCGACTGCCAAAAGGTTCCTCCCAACAGCCGTGCCATTTCTGGCAGTGTTCGAATGGCGTTTGGCAATCTGCTTGCAGCGGTTTCGCAACCTATTGACGTAAAGCCAAGGGGCAGGGCTGACACGCTTCCTCAATCAATATCAAGATCAGTAGAGAGCAACGCTGACTCCTTTTTTATCTGCCTATGCTCCGGAAATATTTTCCCCATTCATTTACTCCATAGGGATTTCGAAAAAGTATTAACTAGTTCTAAGCCTTGGGCCAAACCAATCATCTCCAAGATAAATCACAACATTAAAATATTTGATTTAAAAAAGAATGAACTACTCGTCCCGTAAAGCATGCAGATGTTACATTTAAAATATGATCAATAACATGATTCATTTTTTTTTAACTAAGTATTAGAAGTTCAAAAGTTTTGAGTCAATGTAATTTTGGATGAAGTCTCTTCTCATTTATTTCATGAAAAATATAGTAAAAATAGTAATATTATTGTGAATTTTTTTTTACAGTTTTAAATCATATATATATATATACTAGTATATATAAGCTAACCCTCAAACCGTATTCACTTTATAGTCCTTAATCCTGTAATTGTGGACAAATGTGGGCACAGAGGACATATTTAGAAATGTGGGCATAAAGTTTTGTCTATCCATTTATGGTGTTTTTTTTTTATTTTGGGGGTATTTTTGAATTTATTTACTTGAAAAAGTACCATATTTTCTATGTAAATTATGCTTAAGTATATTAAAATATCATTCCAATAAGTTCTTAGAGCTAAACCCTAAAGATGAAGTGACTTTGCTGTCACCTGGTGTCTTATTTTGGCTTCTTTTAGACTGCTCTAAATGACAGTTTTTTCCCATTCATTTCTATGAGTGCCCATTTTTGACCCAAATACAAGATTAAGGAGGTTTTTTTCACCCACGTAACATTGCAGAATTGAGTTAAAAAAAATTATGTGTGTTCAGGAGGCAAACGTAGGAAAAGTATCCAAGTCTTGTACCGCTCAGATCGAGGGAAGTATTTTTTAAAAATAAATCAAAACTATTTTGTCCACATTTGTCCAGAATATGGTTTTAGGGTTAATAAAAATTAAATAAATAAATAAATGTAATGCATCCTTGCTGAACGAAAGTATGAATTTTATTTTATTAAATGTTATTGACCCCATACTTTTGAATGCTAGTCTATGTATGTATAAGTTATTTGGCACTGCAAGGAGACCAATTCACTTCCGTTTTTTGCAAAACATCTATGATGTTGTTTGTCACATATAAATCACACAGATCTCAGAGCTCAATGTAGAAAGGTTTGTGTAGGTCAGAATGTGGTCACTCCGCGTGATCCACCCAGAAGAGGAAAGTAATGGAAAGCAGATGTGCTCAGACCCTTAGTTCCTGCTCAGTAATCCATGCAGTAATCATGCTAACACATTAGCTCAGCAATGCTTCAACACCATTCTAGTCTGTACTTAATAACCCAACAACCCTGCTGAGTTATTCATATTGACTCTGCAAGCTGTCCCATCCAATTACTTAAAGAGGAGCGGAAAACCAATTGGCCGTCTCCTTAATGTCGTTTCATGGCCCGATCCATGCTTCCTAGACAACGCAACAAGAAAATGATCTGCCAGAGTCTGGCCACAGTCACATTACTTAGAGCAATCCTCTGCAAACTATGAAGATTTACCACACAAGAGTCTTGTGGTTAGCGCAGTGCATTTGAAAAATGTAGATATGTCTGTATCAGTAATGCAAGATACGCGTTTATTTTCTTTATTTTGGCTTAGAAATAAGCAACTAAGATGACATGCATGGTGTTTGCACTAACATAAATATTCATGCTAAACTGGTTTCTAATAGCACTAATTTGATGCTAATTTACTTGGAGAGACGTAAAGTAATGCAGTTGGTCAGCAAAATTCAATTGGTGGAGTTAGTAGACCAAATCTTGATGTAGGCCAAGTCTTGTAGAGCTAGTACCATGGTATTACGTGGTAAAACATGGTCTTTTTATTGGCTGATGGCATTGTGGTGCACTCTAATACATTAATTAGGGATTGACATCATTAAAGGAGTAGTTCACTTTTGAAAAAAACTTTTGCTGATAATTTACTCACCCCCATGTCATCCAAGATGTCCATGTCTTTCTTTCTTCAGTCGAAAAGAAATGAAGGTTTTTGCTGAAAACATTCCAGGATTTTTCTCCATATAATGGACTTCAATGGGGTCCAAACGGTTCAAGGTCCAAAAGACAGTTTCAGTGCAAACTGTGACGCACGTTCGTGACTCTCCTGTTCGATCTCGTTTATCAAAATTGACCAAATGACTCAGAAAAAAAGATTTGTTCATTTTGATGGACGAGTTCGAACAGGAGAGTCACGAACGTGAGTCACAAAACAGAGCAAGGCGAGCATTTGTGCTTATAAAACTTAAACTTTGTTATTTATTTTTTTCAAATGAGCGATCGTTTCGCTTGATAAGACCCTTATTCATCGTCTGGAATCGTTTAAAGCCCTTTGAACAGTTTGCAGTTTGCACTGAAACTGTCTTTTGGACCTTGAACCGTTTGGTCCCCATGTAAGTCCATTATATGGAGAAAAATCCTGGAATGTTTTCATCAAAAACCTTAATTTGTTTTCGACTGAAGAAAGAAAGACGTGGACATCTTGGATGACATGGGGGTGAGTAAATTATCAGCAAAAGTTTTTTGAAAAGTGAACTACTCCTTTAAACCTCACAAGTGGCCCCATATGTAGAGCAAAAGCCAGTTTTTCACGTGGAAGTGTGTCCGCTCTGCCCCGGAGTACTCTCCGTTCCTTTCCCTCCTCTCTTACTCCCATGTTCAGTGAGGTTGGAGGTACTATGCTACAGCTCTGACCGATTGAATTGCATTAAGCCCAAAGTATTCTTTTTCAGCGTATCCTTTCAAAGGATACAAACACGTTTCCAGTGTCTGCGCTATTTCTCTACAGAAGTTACAACCGCTAAAATGTCTTTGTTCTCGCGTAAACTAGAGCTGAATGTATTTCCAACGCATTCTCATCCTAGGGTATCATATAATGACGCTTTTGACATTTCGCCTAAATCCAACGCACATGACACCCTTTAGCGTCAATATAACACGCTTCGGTTATGGGTAGGTTTAGATCTGGGGTAGTGTTAGGGTTAGACCACTAGGAGGCGCCTATATATCTGCGTCTCATATTGACGCTAAAGGCTGCCATGTGCGTTGGATGTAGACGAAATGTCATATGCGTCAGTATATGACGCCTTGGGATGAGACCGGGCTGTTTTTTCTTAACTCCGTCGCACAGGCGCTCATCTATTGTGGCGCTCGTGAGGAGTGTATTGTTGTTGTTTCTTTTTTAACGAGTGCAAAAAAAGTTCCGTCCAGATAGAAAAGCGACTATGCTAATGATGGATTTCCCAGTACGCACTAACACACCCTAACGTGCGCTCAAAAAACAAAGTATACTTTGGGCTTTAATGTTTGTGTGTACTTCTGAGTTTCTGGATCACTTCTCCCCTGAGCTCCATATTCTCCTCTACACTCTTAAAAGTCAAAGCTCTTTATTGGCATCTATGGTTCCACGAAGAATCTTTTAACATCCGTGGAACTTTTCCATTCCACAAAAGGTTCTTTAGATTATTACAATGTTCTTCACACTAAAATGGTTCTTTGAAAGAAATAAAACTTTTGCTGATAATTTACTCACCCCCATGTCATCCAAGATGTCCACGTCTTTCTTTCTTCAGTCGAAAAGAAATTAAGGTTTTAGATGAAAACACTCCAGGATTTTTCTCCATATAATGGACTTCAATGGGAACCAAACAGTTCAAGGTCCAAATGAGAGTTTCAGTGCAGCTTCAAAGGACTTTAAATGACGCCAGACGATGAATAAGGGTCTTGTCTATCGAAACCATCGATCATTTCAAAAATAAATAACAAAGTTTAAGTTTTATAAGCTCAAATGCTCGCCATGGGTGTTCGTGACTCTCCTGTTTGAACTCGTTCATCAAAATGAGCGAATTTTTTTGAGTCATTTGGTTGATTCAATGAACAAAATGACTCGAAAAAAGATTTTGATGAACGAGTTCAAACAGGAGAGTCACGAACGCGCATCACAAGGTGAGCATTTGAGCTTATAAAACTTAAACTTTGTTATTTATTTATTAAATGAGCGATCGTTTCGCTTGATAAGACCCTTATTCACCGTCTGGAATCGTTTAAAGCCTTTTAAAGCTGCACTGAAACTCTCATTTGGACCTTGAACCGTTTGGTTCCCATTGAAGTCCATTATATGGAGAAAATCCTGGAATGTTTCCATCAAAAACCTTAATTTCTTTTCGACTGAAGAAAGAAAGACATGGACATCTTGGATGACATGGGGGTGAGTAAATTAAAGTGAACTACTGAAGAGATCTTTGGAGAACCTCAAATGGTCAATCTATGGCTTCACTGCAGAAGCTTTATTTTAGAAGCTAAAGCTTAGGGCTGGTAACCAGAAGGTTGCTGGTTCAGGCTCCATGATTACGTTGGCCTTTAGTTTGCATAAAGTTCAGACTCTCCCAATATTTTTTCGATGCTCTACTTGCTTTTCTGTCAATCCCCCACACGAGCCTCCTGTTCAGTCCCATAGAAGGGATGGTCCAGAAAACAAGTTTGCTAACGTTTTCTTCTTGCATACAGCTTCGCCTGAGGATAACGCTCCTCTTCTTTCCCTTTCTAAATCTCTGATGTGTGTTTCCTTCTCTACCTTCCTTTAGCTTGGCTGTGTGGCGCCTTTTCCCTCAAACAATATGAACTTACCACAGGACTGGGTCTCAAGATTTCAGATCCCCAGTGTGTACTAACCGTCGAGTGGATTATGCTTTGGCATATGCATGGTCTTTCACCTGAGGGATGCAATGGGCGTTGCTTGACTTCTGGCTTCCAGTGTGAAATTAACCAAATTGGAGGAGTGTGTATTTGAGTTTGGAGGATCTGAAATGAGATTGCATTTAGACTTTGTGGTTAAATTGTCAGAACAAACCTGTGACTGATTTTTGGTGTAGATCTATAATAGCTTCATTACCTCCAAGCTCACAATACCTCTCGCCTAAATATTGAACTTCTCCCCTGGACTTGTTTTTCCGCTTCCTTTTCCAATGAAATCCGTTTTTCTTGTGTAATTTCCGTCTCCGGCAGGGGTAGCAGTGCAAAGCGTGCTGGAGGAATGGAGCGTTCTCAGAGTAGCACATGGGACAGTGGAGAGGAGAACAGGAATAAGCTGGTGAAAGCAGCCTCCACATCCAAACTGCTGTCCAAAGTGGTGAAGAACGCAGAGAAGTAAGTGTTAGCTTCCTTTTGTCCACTTAAAGGAGTAGTTCACTTTAAAAAAAAACTTTTGCTGATAATTTACTCACCCCCATGTCATCCAAGATGTCCATGTCTTTCTTTCTTCAGTCGAAAAGAAATTAAGGTTTTTAATGAAAACATTCCAGGATTTTTCTCCATATAATGGACTTCATTGGGAACCAAATGGTTCAACGAACGTAATGAAACAAATTGACTCGGAAAAAGATTTGTTCATTTTGATGAACTACTTCAAACAGGAGAGTCACAAAAGTGTGTCACAGAACAGAGAAAGGCGAGCATTTGTGATTATAAAACTTAATTTACTTTTGAAATGAGCGATCATTTCGCTTGATAAGACCCTTATTCATCGTCTGGTGTCGTTTAAAGCGCTTTGAAGCTGCACTGAAACTCTCAATTGGACCTTGCACCGTTTGGTCCCCATTGAAGTTTATTATATGGAGAAAAATCCTGGAATGTTTTCATCAAAAACCTTCATTTCTTTTCAGGATTTGAGAATTTTTCTCCATATAATGGACTTCAATGGGAACCAAATGGTTCAATGTCCAAAAGAGAGTTTCAGTACAAACTGCAAACTGTTCAAAGGGCTTTAAACGATTCCAGACGATGAATAAGGGTCTTATCAAGCGAAATGATCGCTCATTTAAAAAAAAAAAAACAAAGTTTAAGTTTTATAAGCTCAAATGCTCGCCTTGCTCTGTTCTGTGACACACGTTCATGACTCTCCTGTTCGAACTCGTTCATCAAAATGAACAAATCTTTTTTAGTGTCATTTGGTTTATTCAACGAACGAAATGAACAAGTTGACTCGGGAAAAAGAATTGTTCATTTTAATGAACGAGTTCGAACAGGAGAGTCACGACTGCTCATCACAGAACAGAGCAAGGCGAGCATTGAGCTTATAAAACTTAAACTTTTTATTTATTTTTTTAAATGAGCGATCGTTTCGCTTGATAAGACTCTTATTCATCGTCTGGAATCGTTTAAAGCTCTTTGAACAGTTTTCAGTTTTCACTGAAACTGTCTTTTGTACTTTGAACCAGTTGGTTCCCATTGAAGTCCATTATATGGAGAAAAATCCTGTTTTCATCAAAAACCTTATTTTTTTTTTCGACTGAAGAAAGAAATACATGGACATCTTGGATGACATGGGGGTGAGTAAACTTTAAATGCTCTTTTTGTGTGTTCTTTGGGGGAAAGTCATATCTGTTGGGAACATTGTGAGAGTGAACAAATGATGACAATAATATGAATTTTTATTTTTGGATGTAACGTATGCCTACAGTATAACACATGAACAAACACGCCATTTTTGTCTTGTGTTAACAATGTTTTGATTTTATTCCCATTTCCTCTTTAGACACAGAGATCCAGTCATCAGCCAAGGTAAAGTCTCATTTTGCCTTCTACGTGATCTATTATGTTTCATCTTCATTTTTCCCTTATATATTCCTCTCATTTCCTGTATCACAGTGGTGCAGGCAAAACTGATGCGCATTAAAACAAATCAGACTCTTACAAGCATGTCATTTCCACAGTAAAAACCATTTCAGAAGCTAGCATTATGCCACTGATAGCTCTTAGCATTTGGCGTTGCCCCAGGGCAAGATTAGCAGTGACGCTGAAAAATACTCGAGGCTCATGTTAGTGGGCGAGTGTGCCCTGGGACGACCTATCCCGCGGCTGGATTTAGCCCTGGGCCGAGAACAGTACAGGTGTGTGAGCACCACCTCCATCTCTCAAGACAGTTTAATCTTGGCAAACACGTCCACAGACTGCATTCCTTTGACTTGTGGTTTCTCATTTGTTGTTCTAGATATTTCTAATGATCACACCCATCTTAAAAACCTTTGACATGTTCCTTGTCTGTCATTCTTTCTGTGTTTGTTTTTTGAGAGATTATTATTTCTGTCCCATACCCAGCTAAAATGTCAACCCGTGAAAAAAACAGTCAAGGTAAGGCCTTCGTCTCTCCAGGGCCGAGCGCTCCCGTACCCGCTTCAGGCTGGGCTATACGCGTTTCTGCCACTAATCCCACTTTAATTCCCTTAACATGTTGATCCATCTGAAGGATCAACGCTCAGTCACTTCTTCCACTTTCCTTCTGTCTCTCTGCCGCTTTTGTTCCTCAAAATCTCTAAGGAGTAGTTCACTTTTGAAAAAAAATTTGCTGATAATTTACTCACCCCCATGTCATCCAAGATGTCCATGTCTTTCTTTCTTTAGTCGAAAAGAAATTAAGGTTTTTGATGAAAACACTCCAGGATTTTTCTCCATATAATGGACTTCAATGGGGTCCAAACGGTTCAAGGTCCAAAAGAGAGTTTCAGTGCAAACTGCAAGCTGTTCAAAGGGCTTTAAACGATTCCAGACGATGAATAAGGGTCTTATCAAGCGAAACGATCCCTCATTTAATAAATAAATAACAATGTTTAAGTTTTATAAGCTCAAACGCTCGCCTTGCTCTGTTCTGTGATGAGCGTTCGTGACTCTCCTGTTCGAACCCGTTAATCAAAACGAACAAATCTTTTTCTGAGTCATTTGGTTGATTCAACGAATTGACTCGGAAAAAGATTCGTTCATTTTGATTAACGGGTTTGAACAGGAGAGTCACAAACGTACGTCACAGAACAGAGAAAGGCGAGCATTTGTGCTTATAAAACTTAAACTTTGTTTTTTTTTATTAAATGAGGGATCATTTCGCTTGATAAGACCCTTATTCATCGTCTGGTGTCGTTTAAAGCCCTTTGAAGCTGCACTGAAACTCTCATTTGGACCTTGAACCGTTTGGTCCCCATTGAAGTCCAAAATCCTGGAATGTTTTCATCAAAAACCTTTATTTCTTTTCGACTGAAGAAAGAAAGACATGGACATCTTGGATGACATGGGGGTGAGTAAATTATCAGCAAAAGTTTTTTTGAAAGTGAACTACCCCTTTAAATAACATTTCTGGAGCAAGGGATAGTAAGTGGATTTCCTCCCAGGATAAACGACGAACACACATCTCGCTTGTTCATGTCTTCCCACAATTCAGCTGGTCTAAATAGGTGACCTTAGAGATTCACCACCGGTAACTCATTAGCAGAAGAATGTGTTTTTCTGAAGTAATGATGCCAGAATCTCACTGAACACATCATCTAGCCCATATTTCACCCCCAAAATCAAAGAAATACAAAAATGACATCTATTGTAACATTATTTGTGTGACAAATGCGCACATTTTGACCATAATGCTAAAATCTCATTCTCATTACTGTACAGTTTCAGAGCAAAATATTTTATATATATCATAAAATTTTAGTATTTGTTGTACTAATTTATATTTAGTTATTTAACGTGCCTTGTGTCGTCCCAAACCTGATGACTTTCTTCTGTGGACGATTAAAAAAAGATATATTTCGAAGAATGTTAGTAACAATAAAAAAAAAAATTTCTGTCCGTTACGTTCCACATAAGACTTGGAACAACATGAGTGTGTCTAAATGATCACTAAAATATCATTTGTGGGCGATATCAAGTAATTTCTGAAAGTATATACTGGTGATTTATTTTTTAAAGGTTATCTCAGGTCAGATGTCTTGTTCTGTGTTAAATACTTTATATAATTACATGATGATGATTCTGGAGACTAGAGAAAACACTGATTCTTTGTCCATTTTTTCACCACTTTGATATTTCTGCTTTTCTTTATTAAATCACATTATAATTTGGGCATTATCATTGCTCTGGCCCTTCTGCACGGCGCTTGAGGCTTCGGTTTTGATTTGCTTGGGTTTTTGAATGAGTTCAGCGCATGAGCTTTACTAACTCCATCAAAGAGCTTCACTTAGAAACCAATATGTAAAAACTGTTAAAGTTACCCGGAGAAATGTTAGAAGGAAACCTATATGTTGTGTATGTTATATTAAAGGAGTCGTTCACTTTTAAAAAACTTTTGCTGATAATTTACTCACCCCCATGTCATCCAAGATGTCCACGTCTTTCTTTCTTCAGTCGAAAAGAAATTAAAGTTTTTGATGAAAACATTCCAGGATTTTTCTCCATATAATGGACTTCAATGGGGACCAAACGGTTCAAGGTCCAAATGAGTTTCAGTGCAGCTTCAAAGGGCTTTAAACGATTCCAGATGATGAATAAGGGTCTCATCTAGCGAAACATCGCTCATTTAATAAAAAAAAATAAAGTTTAAGTTTTATAAGCTCAAATGCTCGCCTTGCTCTGTTCTATGATGCACGTTCGTGACTCTCCTGTTCAAACTCGTTCATCAAAATTAACAAATCTTTTTTCAAGTCATTTGGTTCATTCAATGAACGAAATGACTCAAAAGACTCTTATTCATCGTCTGGAATCGTTTAAAGCACTTTGAAGCTGCACTGAAACTCTGAAACCGTTTGGTTCCCATTGAAGTCCATTATATGGAGAAAAATCCTGGAATGTTTTCATCAAAAACCTTCATTTCTTTTCGACTGAAGAAAGAAAGACATGGACATCTTGGATGACACGGGGCGAGTAAATTATCAGCATAAGTTTTTCAAAAGTGAACTACTCCTTTAAAATTACCTAGCAAACCAGTCTCTTCTCAAAGACCATGTGCACTGGCAAATTTCAACTCTTTCAAAGTCTAATCTCCAGATGCATGTACTTCACATGAGATGCGTTTCATATAATAGTTGCTAATTTGGTTAATAATCATTCATTCTTAATAGTCATTTATTTTTTGTAGTATTTTGTCTATTTGAATGTCTTTTGTTCATCAAATCTCTTCACAGAGGGAGACTACATCAAAATGTTCATGCGAGGACGACCCATCACAATGTTCATCCCGTCGGACGTGGAGAACTACGACGAGGTGCGCACCGAACTTCCCCCAGAGAGACTCAAACTGGAGTGGGTGTATCCTTCCCAGCATGACTTGCGCTCGGCACATTGTGTTTCTGCATTTGCTCTTTACGCCAAGTTTATTTATAGAACACATTTCATTAACAGTGGCCATTTAAAGTGATTAAAATTGGCAAAATAATGAAATAAGACTTCAATTCAGAACATATTAATACATAATAAATTATTATATTTATTTATTTAATAGAAATCATTTCTAAATTCTGTTTTAAAATGGATGAAATCAGGGCTGTCAAACGATTAATCGCGATTAATCACTTCTAAAATAAAAGTTTGTGTTTACATAATATACGTGTGTGTGGTATGTATAATTATTTTGTATATATATATATATATATATAAATACACACACATGTATGTATATATTTAAGAAATATTTGCATATAAATATATTTATACATAATTAATATTATATATAAATATTTGAAATATTAATAACACATTTTTGTTAAATATATCCATGCATGTGTCATGTGTGTATTTATATATACAAAATAATTATACACACTACACACACACACACATATATTATGTAAATACAAACTTTTATTTTGAATGCGATTAAACGCGATTAATCGTTACCCAGCCCTAGATTAAATATTATAAGGTAAGAAGAGTATTATTTACTACGGTTGTCAAATAATTAAAAATGTACTTAAATATTTTAAGTTGACTCACTGTACTAAGAAAATAAAAATAAAAATATATATTTTTTTTTTATATTAGGATCCCCATTAGCGGCCCATTTAATGGCAGCTAATCTTCCTGGATGTGTAAAGCATTGCACAGATATGACCAATCTTCAGAAGTGATGGTGTAGTTTGTTGTTGGTGTTTTGTTGTGTTCTCCTTGACTGACGGATAGATATGGATACAGGGGTCGTGACTGCCGTGCAAACGTGTACTTGCTGCCTACCGGGGAGATCGTGTACTTCATCGCCTCGGTGGTCGTGCTCTTCAACTACGAGGAGAGGACACAGCGCCACTACTTAGGACACACCGACTGTGTCAAATGGTGAGACTGGTGAAAACACATCTGGTGTGTTTGAGGACATGGTCTTGATTCAATTGCCAACTCTTACTGAATGTTTCTTTGAAAAATGCTGCTGAAGCCCAGAGGGCCGTGTTGTGCGAGCTTGTGTCCTGTGTCAATGGCACTCATTCAATTGGAGTGGACAATTCAGTTTAAAACGTTTTTACCACTTGTCATGGTTGTAACAGTGTAATTATACAAGTACTGAGTAATATTAATTAACTACATGTACTTACTATAGGATTAGGCTTTAGCTTGTACTGTTATTACTAGAGTAACTACAGGTAACGTAGTGGTAACGTGGTAACAACAACACATTAAAACTAAACGTTGGGGGCTTACACGTACATACACTTACAGTGATATGAATCAGTTTGGACACCCATGCTAAAGTTGCCTAAAACGAGGAATAAAAAAAGGATAGTTCACATTGAAATTCATTTTTGGTATGTTTTATCTTACCTCAAGGGCATCCAAGATGTAGGCGTCTTGTTTCCACAGTAGTTTCAATTTTGATATTTTTAGGTTGTCTGTCAGTCATATAATGGAGGTCTATGGTCACCACCTCAAAGAGCATGCACAGAGAAGTCCAAATTAAACATGATTGAATGACTCGTAAATGTAAGTACACCAAGATGTAATTCTCTCTCTCGTTCTCTTACAGTCTCGCTGTTCACCCAGATAAGATCCGTATCGCCACCGGACAGATCGCAGGAGTGGATAAGGATGGAAGAGTGAGTTTGATCAACATAACTATTATGATGAACACTAACTTTCCTGTATGTTTGCCTCAATGTATGCTATTGTTTCAAAGTTTGCTATCAGTGAAACAAGGATGCATTAAATTCATCAAAAGTGACAGACTTTTTCAGTGTTATGCAAGATTTCTTTGTCAAATAAATATTGCTTTCTATTTATCAACACATCCTGAAAAGATATGACTGTTTTCAACATTGATTAAATATTTCTTGAGCAGAAAAACATCATATTAGAGTGATTTCTGAAGACTGGAGTAATGATGCTGAAAACTATGGAAGCGTGTTTCCGCCATAGAATGAAAAATATAAAAAGTAATTGCGACTTTTTATCTCACAATTCTGACTTTTTTTCTCAGAATTGCGAGATATAAAGTCAGAATTGCGAGATATAAAGTCAGAATTGTGAGATATAAAGTCAGAATTGTGAGATATAAAGTCAGAATTGTGAGATATAAAGTCAGAATTGCGTGTTATAAAGTCAGAATTGCGAGGTATAAAGTCAGAATTGTGAGATATAAAGTCAGAATTGCGTGTTATAAAGTCAGAATTGCGAGATATAAAGTCAGAATTGCGTGATATAAAGTCAGAATTGCGAGATATAAAGTCAGAATTGCGAGATATAAAGTCAGAATTGCTGATATAAAGTCAGAATTGCGAGATATAAAGTCAGAATTGCTGATATAAAGTCAGAATTGCGAGATATAAAGTCAGAATTGCGAGATATAAGTCAGATATTATAAAGTCTGACTTTATATCAGCAATTCTGACTTTATATCTCGCAATTCTGACTTTATATCTCGCAATTGAGATATTAAGCCAGTTAAGTCAATTCTGAGATATAAAGTCAGAATTGTGAGATATTAAGTCAGAATTGCGAGATATAAAGTCAGAATTGTGTGATATAAAGTCAGAATTGCGAGATATTAAGTCAGAATTGCGAGATATAAAGTCAGAATTGCGAGATATAAAGTCAGAATTGTGTGATATAAAGTCAGAATTGCGAGATATTAAGTCAGAATTGCGAGATATAAAGTGGAACTGCGTGATATAAAGTCAGAATTGGGAGATATTAAGTCAGAATTGCGAGATATAAAGTCAGAATTGTGTGTTATAAAGTCAGAATTGCGAGATATTAAGTCAGAATTGCGAGATATAAAGTCAGAATTGCGTGATATAAAGTCAGAATTGCGAGATATTAAGTCAGAATTGTGAGATATAAAGTCAAAATTGTGAGATATAAAGTCAGAATTTTGAGATATTAAGTCAGAATTGCGTGATATAAAGTCAGAATTGCGAGATATAAAGTCAGAATTGTGAGATATAAAGTCAGAATTGTGAGATATAAAGTCAGAATTGTGAGATATAAAGTCAGAATTTTGAGATATTAAGTCAGAATTGCGTAATATAAAGTCAGATTTGCGAGATATAAGTCAGAATTGTGAGATATAAAGTCAGAATTGCGAGATATAAAGTCAGAATTGTGAGATATAAAGTCAGAATTGCGTGATATAAAGTCAGAATTGTGTGATATAAAGTCAGAATTGCGAGATATAAAGTCAGAATTGCGTGATATAAAGTCAGAATTGTGTGATATAAAGTCAGAATTGCGAGATATTAACTCAGAATTGCGAGATATAAAGTCAGAATTGCGAGATATAAAGTCAGAATTGCGAGATATAAAGTCAGAATTGCGAGATATAAGTCAGAATTGTGAGATATAAAGTCAGAATTGCGAGATATAAAGTCAGAATTGTGAGATATTAAGTCAGAATTGCGTGATATAAAGTCAGAATTGCGAGATATAAAGTCAGGATTGAGTGTTATAAAGTCAGAATTGCGAGATATAGTCAGAATTGCGAGATATAAAGTCAGAATTGTGAGATATAAAGTCAGAATTGTGAGATATAAAGTCAGAATTGCGAGATATAAAGTCAGAATTGCGAGATATAAAGTCAGAATTGCGAGATATAAAGTCAGAATTGTGAGATATAAAGTCAGAATTGCGAGATATAAAGTCAGAATTGAGAGATATAAAGTCAGAATTGTGAGATATAAAGTCAGAATTGTGAGATATAAAGTCAGAATTGTGAGATATAAAGTCAGAATTGTGAGATATAAAGTCAGAATTGTGAGATATAAAGTCAGAATTGTGAGATATAAAGTCAGAATTGCGTGATATAAAGTCAGAATTGAGAGATATAAAGTCAGAATTGTGTGATATAAAGTCAGAATTGCGAGATATAAAGTCAGAATTGCGAGATATAAAGTCAGAATTGCGAGATATAAAGTCAGAATTGCGTGTTATAAAGTCAGAATTGCGAGATATAAAGTCAGAATTGCGTGATATAAAGTCAGAATTGCGAGATATAAAGTCAGAATTGCGAGATATAAAGTCAGAATTGCGTGATATAAAGTCAGAATTGCGTGATATAAAGTCAGAATTGTGTGATATAAAGTCAGAATTGCGAGATATAAAGTCAGAATTGCGAGATATAAAGTCAGAATTGCGAGATATAAAGTCAGAATTGCGTGTTATAAAGTCAGAATTGCGAGATATAAAGTCAGAATTGCGTGATATAAAGTCAGAATTGCGAGATATAAAGTCAGAATTGCGAGATATAAAGTCAGAATTGTGAGATATAAAGTCAGAATTGTGCGATATTAAGTCAGAATTGCGAGATATAAAGTCAGAATTGAGCGATATAAAGTTAGAATTGTGTGATATTAAGTCAGAACTGCGTGTTACAAAGTCAGAATTGCGAGATATTAAGTCAGAATTGCGAGATATAAAGTCAGAATTGCGTGTTATAAAGTCAGAATTGCGAGATATAAAGTCAGAATTGCGTGATATAAAGTCAGAATTGCGAGATATAAAGTCAGAATTGCGAGATATAAAGTCAGAATTGCGTGATATAAAGTCAGAATTGCGTGATATAAAGTCAGAATTGTGTGATATAAAGTCAGAATTGCGAGATATAAAGTCAGAATTGCGAGATATAAAGTCAGAATTGCGAGATATAAAGTCAGAATTGCGTGTTATAAAGTCAGAATTGCGAGATATAAAGTCAGAATTGCGTGATATAAAGTCAGAATTGCGAGATATAAAGTCAGAATTGCGAGATATAAAGTCAGAATTGCGTGATATAAAGTCAGAATTGCGTGATATAAAGTCAGAATTGCGTGATATAAAGTCAGAATTGCGAGATATAAAGTCAGAATTGTGAGATATAAAGTCAGAATTTTGAGATATTAAGTCAGAATTGCGTGATATAAAGTCAGAATTGAGAGATATAAAGTCAGAATTGCGAGATATAAAGTCAGAATTGTGAGATATAAAGTCAGAATTTTGAGATATTAAGTCAGAATTGCGTGATATAAAGTCAGAATTTTGAGATATTAAGTCAGAATTGCGTGATATAAAGTCAGAATTGCGAGATATAAAGTCAGAATTGCGTGATATAAAGTCAGAATTGCGAGATATAAAGTCAGAATTGCGAGATATAAACTATTCTGAGGGGGGGAAAGTTAGTCTTAGTAACTTAGTCTTTTTCCCCTTAGTATTGGCCTGATTACTTGCAATTGCGAGTTTATATTTCACAATTCTGAGAAAAGATGTCAGAATTTAGACATATAAACTCACAATTATGTGTTATAAAGTCAGAATTGCGAGATGTAAACTCGCAATTGTGAGAAAAAAAGTCAGAATTGTGAGATAAAAAGTCTCAATTATTTATTTTATTTTTATATTCAGTGGCGGAAACAAGCTTTGATCACAGGAAAAATGAACATTTTAAATGTATTAAAATAAAATCACAATATTATTGTTTTTACCGTATTTCTGATTACATAAATGCAGTCGTGGTGAGAAGAGGCTTCTTTCAAAACATTAAAATGATAATGTTTCCAAACTTTTCACAGGTACTATATATTAAAGTATTACTATTTTAATGTAATTTTCATCAAATAAAAGCATTGGTGAGTAGAAGTCTATCAAGTATGCAGGCATTCATACTCTTTTAGATTTATCATCTGACCTTGGCAAATGATTTATACAGCTTAACTGTTGTCAGGATCTGTTAAAGTATTGTACTTCTGTTCTCCTATAAGGCAATATTTGAGAATGATCTAGAATAACTGGATAGTTTACATTCTGCTTAAACAAACGTTCAAGACACAGTGTGTCCTGAAAGTTCAAAAACAAACACATTAGCTGGTGAGTTTCCAGAACATAAACCACTAAACGCTGTGAAAGCACTTTGTATGAGTGTTCATGTTGCGTTTAGTTTTCCCGTTATACTACTTGTTCTTTACTGACAATGGTACTTGTTTATCAGAATAACCTTTTCGAATGTTTCCCTCGTGTGATCCTCAGCCGCTCCAGCCACACGTGAGGGTCTGGGACTCGGTCAGTCTGTCCACGCTGCAGATCATCGGCCTCGGCACCTTCGAGAGAGGAGTTGGATCCCTCGCTTTCTCTAAAGCCGTGAGTCTTCATTTAATTGCATTTCGCTATTTGTTTTTAATGAGCATTGTCTAATGACTCCCTCAACAATACCCTGCTTTCAGGAAGTAACTCATAATACAATGAAACGGATAACTGAAACTATATACAATTATATTACACAAAATCAATGTTTTTAAAAGGGCTTATTGTACTGTAATGTAGCATCATAACATACATATGTAGAGAGTAGGACGTTTCATGTTCAATAAAAGCTGTTTCGTGTGTAAAATACCCTCCAAATTACGTTAGGTGGCGTTATTAGGTTTCGAACCTAAGCTCCGCCCCTCACTTACGGCCCTGGCTCTGGTGTAAGAACGTAAGCTCCGCCCCTTACTTCCGGTTCTGGCGCTGAAGTTCTGAAACTGGTGTGCTGCGGGTCTGCAGCTGGATACTATAGCATCAGTGGGTTAGTTACAATGTTTTGAAGCATCGAAAATACATTTTGGTCCAAAAATAACAAAAACTACGACTTTATTCAGCATTGTATTGTCTTCCGGTTGTGTTGTGGATCCGCGTTCAGTGACGTCTGAGCTTCGGTTACAGTCTGAGGGAGACGCACGCTGTACAAAACAATCTTTACAAACATATCTAAGGATTTCCACACAGAGGAAGACTTGCATTTTTTTGCCCAGCCGTATTTATTTGAACCCGAATACACGGACACAAAACAAACAAAAACTACTTTATTCAGCATTGTATTGTTATTTTTTTGTTATTTTATTGTTATTTTTAGACCAAAATGTATTTTCGATGCTTCAAAACATTGTAACTAACCCACTGATGTCACATGGACTACTCTGATGACGTCTTTATTTCCTTTCTGGACAAGGACAGTATACCGTACACACATTTCCAATGGAGGGACAGAAAGCTCGCGGACTAAATCTAAAATATCTTAAACTGTGTCCTAAAGATGAACGGAGGTCTGACGGGCTTGAGTCATTAATGACATCGTTTTCATTTTTGGGTGAACTAACCCTTTAACACAAGATGTTGGAGGGTCAAAGAAAGTCATATGAAGACCTGTAATTATAAAGATACATTTCTAGCGCTGACTGATTTTAAATCGTAATTTAATGGACCATACCTTTAACAATTCCTGTAAATCAGCTATAAAATTGTATTTATTGCATGGACGAAGGACATAATGTGTTTAAATGCAGAGTTCAACATTTTTTCCCCCTTTAATGCTGTTAAACTGAAAGTACGAAGCAACTGTTTGGTTTTACACAAGACTACCTCACAAAAATGCTTTCAGTTTATGAACCTTGAAGGACTTTCAGATCCTCACTTTTTCTTCTTTCTTTTAGTTGTTATAGAAAGTGAAGTCATTATTTAGTGATGCTGCTTTTAGCCACTCTTCTCCATGAGATGTGCAGAAAATACTGAAACTTTCAAATCTAAATTAAAAGCAAACCTTTTTAGTCTGGCTTTCTTGATATCTCTTATTACACCGACCCCTCATATCTCATAGTTTTATTATTTGCTCATTTAAATGAATGGGCCCCTCCATCGTGGAACACAGACGACACCGCTGGATATTAACCGGGGCTTGGAGCAAAAATTCATCCAAAAATGAATTAAAATCCCCCCAATATTAAAGATAGGGGGGAGAAATGTCTCTGTGTAAATTCTTTTTTTAAATATGTATAAAGGATATTAAGCACTTAGAAACAGGCCTCTAAATCGCAAAGGCCTCTGGCAAGCATGATGACTAAAATTTGTGAAGTATCATTTGTGATACGTTTTTTTTCTCCTGATTTATATGGAAATCTATGACCCAGGAGGAAGTGTTTTTTTAAAGGGATAGTTCACTTTGAAATACATTTTTGGTATGTTTTATCTTACCTCAAGGGCATCCAAGATGTAGGCGTCTTTGTTTCCACAGTAGTTTTTAGGTCAAACCGTTCTTGTCTGTCAGTCATATAATGGAGGTCTATGGTCACCACCTCAAAGAGCATGCACAGAGAAGTCCAGATTAAACATGATTTAATGACTCGTAAATGTAAGTACACATTGATGGACTAAGACACGAAACGAGAGGTTTGTGTGAGAAAACGAACAATATTTATATCGTTTTACCTCTTGTAACCACAGCCACAAAGCACCCACGCCCTCAGATCACTTGCTGTGGTTACAAGAGGTAAAACGATATAAATATTGTTCGTTTCTCACACAAACCTCTCGTTTCGTGTCTTAGTCCATCAATGTGTACTTACATTTACGAGTCATTAAATCATGTTTAATTTGGACTTCTCTGTGCATGCTCTTTGAGGTGGTGACCATAGACCTCCATTATATGACTGACAGACAAGAACGGTTTGACCTAATAATATCAAAATTGAAACTACTGCGGAAACAAAGACACCTACATCTTGGATGCCCTTGAGGTAATCTAAAACATACCAAAAATTAATATCAAAGTGAACTATCCCTTTAACCTTGTGTTTCAACACCAGACGCAGCAATTTTTGGTCATGTCGAGCTATAAACAAACGATATGCAAATATAAACAGCTCTTTTTCGGGGTGACTAAACATTCATTGATTCTAAATCTGTGTGTTTGTGTGTAGGACTCAGGCACTCATCTCAGTGTGATCGACGACTCTAATGAGCACATGCTCACTGTGTGGGACTGGCAGAAGAAATCAAAAATAGCTGAGCTAAAGGTACGTGGACACACTCTTTTTATTCACCACATATCACCACTCCCTTCCTTTGTTCCTTTCTTATATCCTTCTCAATCCTTGTTGCAGTCCTCCTTCTTTCACGTTTTGCCGTGTCTGTTCCACTTGTACCTTTTTCCACCCTTTGCTTCATTGCACACTCCTCTTTTATCTCTTTGTTCTTCATGTAATGGTTTTGCCAATGGACTGTTTTATTAGACAACCAATGAAGTGGTCTTAGCGTTGGAGTTTCACCCGACTGACGCCAACACCATTGTGACTTGTGGGAAATCCCATATCTTCTTCTGGACCTGGAGCGGTTCCTCACTGGCACGCAAACAAGGCATCTTTGGTGTAAGTACACACATATCACTGATTTATTTTATGCACATCATTAAAACCATGAGGTTTTTTAATGCACTTTTAATTTCCCAGAAACTGCATTATCAGACTAGTTTCGAAATCCTTTGTCTTGTGAGTTCAAGAGTGTTCTCTAAACTCAAAAACATTTCAAAACTTTAATTCAATTATTATTTAGCATAATCACTTTTTATGATGGTATTTGTGTGGCATTTTTTTTAATTATTAAAGGAGTAGTTCACTTTTGAAAAACTTTTGCTGGTAATTTACTCACCCCATGTCATCCAAGATGTCCATGTGTTTCTTTCTTCATTCAAAAAGAAATGAAGGTTTTTGATGAAAACATTCCAGCATTTTTCTCCATATAATGGACTTCAATGGGGACCAAACGGTTCAAGGTCCAAAAGACACTTTCAGTGCAAACTGCAAACTGTTCAACGGGCTTTAAACGATTCCAGACGATGAATAAGAGTCTTATCAAGCGAAACGATCACTCATTTAAAAAAAAAAAAAAACATTTCTTTTTCCGAGTCATTTGGTTCATTCAACGAACGAAACGAAAAATTGACTCAGAAAAAGATTTGTTCATTTTGATAAACGAGTTCTAACAGGAGAGTCACGAACGTGCATCACAGAACAGAGCATAAAAACTTTTTTTTTTTTTTAAATGAGGGATCGTTTCGCTTGATAAGACCCTTATTCAACGTCTGGAATCGTTTAAAGCCCTTTGAACAGTTTGCAGTTTGCACTGAAAGTGTCTTTTGGACCTTGAACCGTTTGGTTCCCATTGAAGTCCATTATATGGAGAAATCCTGTAATGTTTTCATCAAAAACCTTAATTTCTTTTCAACTGAAGAAAGAAAGACATGGACATCTTGGATGACATGGGGGTGAGTAAATTATCAGCAAAAGTTTTTTGAAAAGTGAACTACTCCTTTAAGATCTTTTAGTAAGAATATTGTACGTAGATATTACTGTTTATTACTACTTTGTTTCACATAAATACATTTCTGCTTGTGCTCATTTAGGGTGTGTTCGGTTCTTTTGGTCTGGAACCAAAAAATAAGACATTTATTCCTGGTTCACTTAGCGTTCACAGTCATTTTCAAGACCAAACCTATATTCAAAACAGATTCTATGACCTATATTTTGCGAATGAACTCAACTCTTAATCCCAATTTCAAGACGATTTCAGAGAAAAGTCATAAATATTGAGTTAAATAGAGTCATAGTGATATTTCCAAGAAGCATTTATAGCCTAGTTCTGCAGGTCAGCTTGACTACAGAGTTCATAAAATCTGACTTTACATTTACTACTTTTGTTTGTGTCTCTATGACAGAAATATGAGAAGCCCAAATTTGTGCAGTGTTTGGCTTTCCTTAATAATGGAGACATCCTGACCGGAGACTCGGGAGGAATCATGCTGATATGGACCCGCAGCACGGCTGAACCAGCGCCAGGGAAAGGGCCGAAAGGTACACACACACATATATACTATACCAGAGGTAGTTGAAAACACTTTCCACCGGATTGCTTTCGTAGTGTAAACGCCCATGTGATCAAATGTGTTCAAACAGCTACGTCTACTCTAGCATTAGCTGGATGCCGGGATTTAAACTTTATCGGCTGGAGACCCAAGCTTGGTTTGAACTTTGAAGACAAAAAAAAATGGACCAAGAACAATGTTCGGCCGTTCTTTGGCTGTCAGAGCAGAAACTAAAGCTGATGTCCTCCGTGTGTTTCTGTCGTCACCTTTCAGGTTCATATGTAAATTGTGTGAGCATTTAAAACATACATTTACCCACCCCTCGAAGAAATCAGGACAGATGTGGTCGAAAGTGGACACAAGAGACTGATTTAAACACCAGGTGTAAACGGGAATGCGTCTCTCTCGTCTACTAGTAATCTAATCAACTGAAACACATCTTAATACCAGATGTAAACAGAGCCTTAGAAAGTGAGTTTATCAAGATAAATACAGTAATAGTAACAGCCTGCACAGGTCAAGAAAAAAAGACACACTGCTAAAGGAAATCTTAGTTTATTTCTCATGTCATCACTGTGAAAATGACTTGAAAAGCTCAGTTTATGATTGCCATTCTGTAAAAAAAAAATAGTTCTTCGCTTCAGTAGAGAAATAAACTCGGTTAAACAGAGGAATTTACTTCACTGTGGTAAATGCAACAAATAAAACCTTGCTGAACCTCACATTTGACCTGCTAAGGCCCATGTGTGCGACCATATGTTTGTGTCATTCAGCAGAAATAGATTGAAAAGTTAGATAACATAACAGCACTTATTCGATTAATAATACTGTACAATTTTAATCATTTAAAATAGTATTACAATATAAAATAACTGTTTTCTATTGTAATATATAATAAAGTGTCATTTATTCCTGTGATTAAAGCTGTATTTTCAGCATCATTACTCTTAGTCTTCAGTGTCACATGATCCATCAGAAATCACTCTAATATGATGCTCAAGAAACAAATCTGATTATTATCAATGTAAGAAAAAATAGTGATGCATTTTTTTTTTTTTCAGGATAAGAAACTGGAAAGCATTTATTTTTTGTTAAATTGGTTTTTATTCAGACATCAAATAGTCTTGAAATAATTACAGGTTTCAGGATAGATTTCTTATATGCAGAAAAAAAAAAAATAAATAAATAAAAATAAATCTTTTGTAACATTATACATTTATTTACTGTCCTCGTTGAATAAAAAACATTTTGTATGACCCAAACATTTGAACAGGCATGTAGCTAATCAAAAACAAAGATATTATACAAATCAAGAGATGAAGACATACAGTAAGAGGCATTTGGGATTATTAGGAACACCTGTTCAATTTCAGTTTCTAATCAACCAATCGCATGGCAGTTGCTTCAATGCATTTAGGGGTGTGGTCCTGGTCAAGACAATCTCCTGAACTCCAAACTGAATGTCAGAATGGGAAAGAAAGGCGATTTAAGCAATTTTGAGCGTGGCATGGTTGTTGGTGTCTTTGCCAGACGATTTGCAAGAGCTCACTAAAATTGGACAGTTGAAGACTGGAAAAATGTTGCCTGGTCTGATGAGTCTCGACATTTAGATGGTAGAGTCAGAATTTGGCGTAAACAGAATGAGAACATGGATCCATCATGCCTTGTTCCCACTGTGCAGGCTGGTGGTGGTGGTGTAATGGTGTGCGGCATGTTTTCTTGGCACACTTTAGGCCCCTTAGTGCCAATTGGGCATCGTTTAAATGCCACGGCCTACCTGAGCATTGTTTCTGACCATGTCCATCCCTTTATGGCCACCATGTCCCCATCCTCTGATGGCTACTTCCAGCAGGATAATGCACCATGTCACAAAGCTCGAATTATTTCAAATTGGTTTCTTGAACATGGCAATGAGTTGACTGTACTAAAATGGCCGCCACAGTCACCAGATCTCAATCCAATAGAGCATCTTTGGGATGTGGTGGAACGGGAGCTTCGTGCCCTGGATGTGCATCCCACAAATCTCCATCAACTGCAAGATGCTATCCTATCAATATGGGCCAACATTTCTAAAGAATGCTTTCAGCACCTTGTTGAATCAATGCCACGTAGAATTAAGGCAGTTCTGAAGGCGAAAGGGGGTCAAACACAGTATTAGTATGGTGTTCCTAATAATGCTTTAGGTGAGTGTATAATGTACAGTCAGTGGGACAGAATAATTAGCTACCATGATGATCATGTCCGAAAAAGCCAAGGTACTGCCCGAAAAATACTTTTTTAAAATACCATGGTATCTTTTAAAGTTTTCTTTTGTTTCGTCAACACTATAATGTCCATCAGTTCATTACCCAGAAGCACTGTAATGACAGCAACACTAGTGACAGAATGAGAAACTTCTAGAAATCGGTGGAAATCTGGTGATATGTGACTGAGCGCGTGTGTTTGCATGCACACGTGCTGGAGTCTGTGTGCACGAGTTGACAGATGGTTTTCTTAGTGTTGATCCTGGAGTTGTAATGGTTTTCACTGGCATGCTGTGGAACTGGATTGGCGGCACCACAGGCTGAACCAGTGCCAGCTCCTGCTCATTCATCACTGCTTTATTTATCTCCTCAATGTGTGCATTACAGTCCTGTGGTGGAGCGCCCCCTGCAGGACACATGCTTCCCAATATCAAATCCCTTTCCTTGATATTTTGAGTTCATTAATCTGTGAAAGTGCAGTTATGGAATCAAACTTCAAAACTGGCTATATTTACATATTAGTGACACCCGATCAGATCAGAAGATCGCCCCCACGGTCACACGGTTAATGAAATTGATGCTTTTATTCTCCAGGGATATATTAAATTGATCAAAAGTAACAGTAAAGACTTTCAATGTTACAGAAGTTTCAAAGATTCATCAAACAATCATGAAAAAACAATTATTGAAAAATATTCCAGAAAAAACTGTTTTCAACATTTGATCGTGATCATAAATGTTTCTTGAGCATTAAAATCGTCATATTAGAGGGATTTCTGAAGGATCATGTGACACTGTAGACTGGAGTGATGATGATGCTGATGCATCACAGGAATAAATTACAGTTTAAATGGAAAACATTATTTTAGATTTTTAAAAATGCAGTATTGATGACCCAAAAATACTTTTCAAAAACGATCAGTAACTTTGTTACACATTACATGCAGTTACTGTAGTAATAACTATAGGTTATGCGTAATTGCATGCAACTAACTCTAAACCAAAGCCCCAAAACCCTAACCCTACGGTACGTACGTGTAGTTCATTAATATTACACCTTAAAATAAAGTGAAACTAAAACATTTTACTTGTCAACTAACTTCTTGCTCCACCATGAAAACGTGTTGAATTATGAATCATCATTAAATGAGTTTAATAATGGAGTTATGAGTGTGTTGCTGTGGAGTTGTTCTTGTCTTGAATCATTCATCATATGTGGTGTCCTGAACCGGCCTCGTCTCGCTGGGTTCCTGTCTCAGCATCTGTAACTGTAGAAGTGTTACAGTGTGTAACGTCAGTCTGTTCAGCTACACACTCTGTTTCAGAAATGTGTGTGTGTGTTTAGGGACTCCAGGGCTCTATATTTTCCTTGGTTTGGCTCTTTATGCAGACAGCCGAGCCATCAGTATTATTACAGGAGGATGTGATAATCTGCTGGAATTCCCAGAATGCATCATCATCACACACACACACATGCACCCCTGGCCTCACTGGCAAGCGTATCTCTGCGCTTCTCTCTCACTGGCTTTTTTAAAAGCCCTATCACATCTCCGACAGTCTGGCACAGAGAGTGCATTAGCCAGGACGGGTATTTGTGGTGGTGTGTTCCCGGAAACTGTTCTCCATCTGTGTGATTAACCCGTCCCATGATCCCACAGCGTTTCAGATCGCGCGTCAGATCAAGGCTCACGACGGGAGTGTGTTCACTCTGTGTCAGATGAGGAACGGCACTCTGCTGACAGGAGGAGGGAAAGACCACAAGATCATCCTGTGGGACCATGACCTGAATCCAGAGAGAGACATCGAGGTGAGAGACATGCTGGAACTAAAGCCACACAAGCTGCGTTTCTATTACCCTTCAATTTGCGCAAATTGAAATTGCGAAATGAAAATACGCTCAATGGAAACACGTCAATTGCGCAAAAACTCCCGTTTATCGCAAAAAAAGTTTTTACGCTCGCATGAGGAGGTTTTTCAGGCAATTCGAAATAGGATTTTTTTTCGCAAATCTGCAATGGAAACAGATTTTGCGCATTTACAGTCACCTGACTTGGAAGACGGAGTGTGTTTTAGGTCCGTGTCTGCAAATAATAATACTAATTATCATCATTAGCCTATTCTAACATTTATTAGGCTACATATGTAGAAGACGCTTTTATCCAAAAAAGCAACAAAGCAATTCGTCACATCTCATTCATAGTAGCCTACAGGTTGGACAATAATAATAATAGGCCTAAGATTACCACAAATAAACACTCGATTTTGACCAATATCCAAGAGTGTGCGGAGTTTGGAGCACGCAATGGATGGCAGACAGACGCGGGCGCGCCGTGAACACTTTCATTTTCCCATTAACAGTGGAAACAACTTAAAATACTCTAGCATTTCTGGTTATACAGAAAATAATAATACATTATTCGCAACTAGTTTTATTTGCGTAATGTCACAATAACAAGAAAATGTTGTGCTTTTGTAAAATAACATAAAACAATCAGGCGCGCTTTATGATCTTCGTGAACTGGAGCGCGAGAACTGAAACAATAGCCTTTAGCTATAGACTAAAGCTTTAAATGTCCACCTTAAGAACAAATTCGAATCGTAAACTAATACCTTCTGATTATGTAATCCGTATGGAAGGTGCCGTTCTCTCTAAAGGTGCATCCGGAGATTATGTTTTTAGCTCGTTATTTTTACAGATGCATTTATGATAACTCACCTATTCAGCACTGCGGGAAAAATATCATTAATATCCACGTTTTTGGCCTTAGAAAACCAGTAAAATCTACATTTTTTTTCCCCATATTAATTTGTGAATATTTTAAATGTTTTAAAGGGGGCAAAAAGTCATAAACAAATATCTGAAATTTCGTTGAGATGTAGCCTATATAGCGCAGAATTGGTGTGGTCAAACTAAAATTATGGTGTTCAACTTTGCGTTTTAAAAATACAACAACCGTTTATTTTTCGTTTTGCAACGACCGTTTGGACATAATACAAGATAGAGTTCTTTATTAAATTCATTTAAAAAAAGAAACAATAATCACAGGAATAGCCTCTCTAAACCTCAAAGAAATGCCATCAAGACATCGAAGCAGAAATAAGGGAGAAACACCAGGAACTCCGTGTCTTTCCCTGCCATTAATGCTTGGATAACACACCACGTCTCCTTCCATTAATAATAATAATGTCTAGTGCGGTGCATGGCTGTGTCCGTTGCCATGATTTTTGGAAGGACTTATCGCGAGAGGAAAAAAGGACGTTTTAGTCGCATAACATCGGTTAATGGAAACGCCGTCATTTCGCAATAGTTTTTTATCGACATTTGGAAAATATCGCAAAAGTTTTGCGCAAATCTGTAATGGAAACGCGCCTACACTCACTCTCCCTCACTCACTCATGATAATTGATCTTTTCAGGATTATTCTTTTCAGAAGTCTTGGTTGTCACTTTTGATCAAATTAATGCATTCTTAAAATAATTAAATAAGTAAAAGTTGTAATTTCTTTTAAAATAAAATTGTGCTGACCCCAAACTTTTAAATATGAGTGTATGAGATACGGATAAATATCATTTGCAAAGTAAATCAGTCACACATTATTTAATAACTCTGTTTTAGTGTCCTTGTTACATGTACCTACCATAGTAATAACAGTAAATTATGCAACTAACCCTCAACCAATTATATTACACTGTACTTAAATATATAATTACACTGTAACAATGACACCTAAAAATAAAGTGTAACCCATTATTTGATGGTGATGTTGTTACAGTGTAGGCACAGAAATAATTACTGAGTAATATTAATTACCTAAATGGACCTACTATAGGCTTAAGCTTTGGTTTAGAGTTAGTTTTTTTGTAATTATGCATAATTAACTGTTTTTACTGTGTACACTAGTACAGTACACAATACAACCATAACGTAACAAGCACGTATAGCAACATAAGAAAATAACACGCCTCTGTTTCCCTCAGGTCCCAGATCAGTACGGCACCATTCGAGCTGTGGCCGAGGGCAAGGGGGAGCAGTTCCTGGTGGGAACGTCCCGCAACTTCATCCTGAGAGGAACCTTCAACGATGGATTCCAGGTGGAAGTGCAGGTATACCGCTGATCACATGTGCACCTTCAGTGAGGGGCAGGAAGCTGGATTTCCAACACACACAGAGCGGATAACGTCGCTCTTAAAGGGATACTCCCCTTTTTTTTGGAAATAGGCTTATTTTACAACTCCCCCAGAGTTAAACAGTTGAGTTTTACAGTTTTCAAATCCATTCAGCCGATTTTCGGATATTTGGAAGTATATCAGTAACCAGACAGTGTCTGGTCTCATTGACTTCCATAGTATATTTTTTTCCTACTATGGAAGTCAATAAGTTCCCCAAACTCGTCAGGATTAAGGTGGATTGTTCTTCAAGAATGTTCCGCTCTTGTTTGTCATTGTACACGAAACTTCACGCCAATAAATCAAAGCATAGATATGCATATCTCAAGCATAGATATCTATATAAAGGCTAGATATCTCGTCCACGCTGCTCAATTTTCTACCGATTTTCAAACGGTCTGGTTTTTTATAAACGTCAGAGATGTAGTTATGATACTGCATACTTATGAATAATAAGTGTATAAATAAATAATCATCCAAGAATTATAGCCACGTTAATAACGTTTGTAAGAAACCTAACCGTTTGTAAATCCGTCAAGATTTCAACGAGATAAGACTAAGAGTATTTCTTACATCAGATACCACAGAGCCCGCCAGAAAGCCTGTCTGTGACAAGATGGCCGCCGGTGATGACGATAAATACTCCGCCGTGAGACATCTAGTCTGTGTCTGAAACCGCTCACTCGTTCACTCATTCACTAATCCCTATATAGTGTATGGCATTTGAGTGCACTATATCTGCTAGGAGTGAAGGAGATGAAGTGAGTGAATTCAGACGCTGACGTTTACACTGTGCGTCGGAGAGTTGGAGCTGTCGCAGAAAAGGCTTCGTCACGCATACTGATAAAACTCCTTTTATCTTACATTACCTAGTTTATAAAATAATATTAACAACAATAACAATCATAATGACTTTATTTTGTAATTATACCTCCGTGCCAGCTTTGTAGTTTCATCGACTGAAATTGTACATTAACTCTCACGTTCACAGATGACGTGTCGTCGAGCGCCCTCCGGCGACCGTTATTATGTTCAAAACGACGATTAACGGATATTTTTCAAATCCTCCACTGGATGTAATGTAATCTCTGGTTTAAACTTGCTCGCGCCGAACTTTCATGCGCGCTCAGTTCTCTCGCATTGGATTGTGGGAAATAGGGCTTTCAGCGAGTTACATCGAATGTACACTCGAATTCAGAGAGGATTGTGGGTAAAAGTAGTGAATGAATGTAGGGAATGATGTCGTTCACTCAGAATTCGGACACCACTACAAAATGGCCGACACCCGATATAGTGCACTATTTAGTGGATAGGGAGCGATTTCAGACACAGCTCTAGCCTTTATATAGATATCTATGGTCTCAAGCGCCTCTTTACGTTTGTCCTAATGCCTGTTAGGTGTTCGTGGATTTGCCTCTTTCTATCTCCTCTTTAGAATCGATTCAATGAACACTTGTGTCTTAAAATCGAACTGGATTTTTCCAGCTGTATATTCAAGGGAGTCTTTGTTTTTAGGGGCACACGGATGAGCTGTGGGGTTTGGCGTCCCATCCCTTCAAGGACCTGTTCCTCTCCTGTGCTCAGGACAGGCAGGTGTGTCTCTGGAGCTCAGTGGACCACACGCTGGAATGGACCAGACTGCTGGACGTAAGACACACACACACTAACACCCGTCTACGGACGTGTGCTCTCACGCTCTGTGTTAGATGTGGTGGCGACATGACCTAAATCTTACATCAGTGTTGTAGTCGAGACCACCTCACTCGAGTCCGAGTCGACACCGAGACCAGTGAGGGTTGATTACCTAATTTACTTGTATTTACTTAGAGAAATCCTTTTTTTTTTTACTGAATTTACTTAGAGTTTAAAAAATATGATCAGTTTAGGGTAAAAAGGCCACATAGTAGGTGGTGTTAAAAGTAATTTTATTACAATTTGTCATGCGCAGTTGCGCACTAGAAAATCACCAATCACTGGGCGTGTCAATCAATTTAAAGAAATATTTTATTAACATACATTAATAATCATGAAAAATATTTTTAATTGAACTCGGGTGGACTCGGGAATAATTCTGAGTCCTAAAAAAAAAAAATGTTCGAGTACGAGTCAATTCCGAGTCCCAATGGACACGAGTCCATGACAAGACCAAGACCATTAAAATATGGTCTCGAGTCCGAGACGAGTCCGAGTCTCGAGTACTACAACACTGTCTTACATCATGATACGAGCTGTATTTCACCATAATGATCTATATAACACAATACTATAGGTCTTTTTGCTTTAGAATAAGGTTTTTATATTATAAAAATTTTTGATTTCATTGAAATGTCATAATTCTTCATAAGAAAGAACTAATAAAAAACTCTCAAGCTTACTGAAACAAGTAAACAGTCAGTGATTACATAAGAAAATAATTACAAGCAATAAGATGACAAATTAAAACAGAAGAAATAGACCTACCTGAAAAACGTTACATAAATCGTAAAAAGTGATCAAATATTAAAAAATACATTGAATATCTTCACTGTGTAAATGGAGACTACTTGTATTCTGACAGAAAAAGTGATTCAGCCAAGCACATTGAGAGATTTTCTCTTTTTTGTTGTTTGATGAACATTAATAAGAAAATGTAACTTTGTCTGCTGTCACTTTAAGAGCGAATGCACTGATCCAATATACTGTTACACATGTGTTTTCTCTCTCTACGGTTCATAAAGATGGGCATTTTGACACATAAGTGTGTGTATTTGACCGCTCAAGCGCAATTAGGCGGCAAAAAGAACTCATTATTCAAACACTTTATGAGCAGCGGCTTCGAACGGTCTCTCAGACCATCGGGCATTTAGTGAAATAAGTTCTCTTTCGCTGCTTATTGCGTTTTAACGGTTTAAAATGAATTATTTCTAAACAGCAATGGTTAAAAACACACAAACAATAAGCTTTTGTGACCGCTGCTTGGATAGGAAACACTGCTAATGTCAAGCTAATGCTAATTTGGTAACACTTTACAATAAGGTTCATTAGTTAACATTAGTAAATGCATTAACTAACATGAACTAACGATGAGCGATGCATTAGTAACAGTGTTTATTAATCTTTGTTAATGTTAGTTAATACAAATACGGCTGTTCATTGTGCGTTCATGTTAGTTCACAATCCATGAACTAATACAACCTTTGATTTTAATAACGTATTAGTAAATGTTGGAATTAATATTAACTAAGATTAATAAATGCTGAAGAAGTATTGTTCACATATTGTACATGTTAACTAATGAACCTTATTGTAAAGTGTTACCGCTAATTTCAATATTACAGTTGTTAGTAATAATGCACACAATATGCCTCCTGTGTTTTTTGGGGTTTGTTTTTGCCACTGTACTTGTTCTGTACTTGATCTCATTTTTTACTGCCATAAATTGTGCATTTTATTATTCCATATATTTTTTTTTTTTTAATTTCACAGCATTTTAACTTATAGCCCAGTGTTTCAATATTCAGAAAATACCAAAGGGAGTAAAATACCTTCATCCAGATGTAATATATGCGTAATATTCCAGAAACAACTCCAAAAACTACGCAGAATAAATAGACGTGCTTGAGGGATTTATTGGCAAACTTTACAACACATGCCACAACATAAGTGGTTCTTGCAAATCTTTTATCTTTACCGAGGCATCAATAAAAAGACAAGTTGCACAGTTTGGTTCATACAAAACTTTTTCACAGAAGCGCCTATTATAACAGCGGTTCATTTATAATCGAAGCGCAGTGGATAAGACACATGCCTTTGGTGTGAGAGACCCGAGTTTCGAATCCACTGTGAGACACCAATGTGTCCCTGAGCAAGACACTTAACCCCTAGTTGCTCCAGAGGCGGGCGACCTCTGACATTTATAGCAATTTTAAGTCACTTGGGATAAAAGTGTCAGCTAAATGAATAAATGTAAATGTATAAAAAGGATATCCACTAACTCCTCCTTGACATCTTATCCGCAGGCTGTTTGTAATGGTGCAATAATACAGAATTTAGTTGATGTGCGCATATCAGGTTTTTTTTACAATAGCTTTAAAGTTATCCAAACCTTCGGACCACTAGAGGGCGACAGCACACTTCCCAGAGGGCCATATAATGGCTTAACATTATTTTAAACGAGGCAAAACAGAATTGAAAATAAGTTCAAACAGCTCAAATCAATACATATTTCATATTTTCATATGTTTTCCTCCTCAAATGTCGTTTTATTTAAGCTCAAGGGTTTCCGCAGCCTATAGTATAGGAAGGGAAGTGTGGTATCCAGACCTGTTAAACTCCTAAATGTTTCTTTAGGTAGAAATTGCTATTTATGAATTAAAAGAAATTAAAGACTAGAAACATGTAAATGAATTGGTCATAAAAGTGTGAACCTGCAATATGGTCAGTTTTAAAACATCTGGAATAATTGTATTTCATTATTTGAATTATTTATATTTATTTTTTATTAGGGCTGTCAAACGATTAATCGCGATTAATCGCATCCAAAATAAAAGTTTGTTTTTACATAATATATGTGTGTGCACTGTGTATAATTATTTTGTATATATAAATAGACACATATGCTTGTATATATTTAAGAAATATTTTCATGTATATACTGTATATAGATTTATATATAATTTTTATTATATATACATATAAATATTTTATATATAAATAAAAAATGTTTTAAATATACATGCATGTGTGTGTGTATATATATATATATATATATATACACAAACACAAAATAATTATACACAGTGCACACACATATATTATGTAAACACAACTTTTATTTTGGATGCGATTAATCGTGATTAATCGTTTGAAGCCCTATTTATTATTATTATTATTATTTAATATAATAATATATTAAATAATATACCTCTCCTAGTTTCTGTAGATAAAATAAAAAGGTTTTTATTTTAGCAGTGATATCAGTCGAGGTTGTGAATGTGTGTGTGATGTGTGTTTAGGAGCACGGGCACTGCGCAGACTTCCATCCCAGCGGTTCGGTTGTTGCCATCGGGACTCACTCAGGGAAGTAAGTGACTGCCATCTCTACTGGGAAATCTGGCATCCATCCATTTAACACTGAAAAGGTTTAGCGGCTGCAGTTCAGACAGTGTGTGTGTGTGTGTCAGGTGGTATGCCCTGGACGCAGAGACTCGAGACCTGGTGGCCATTCACACAGATGGCAATGAGCAGCTGTCAGTGATGCGCTTCTCTGTCGGTGAGTGTGTGTTTGTGTGTGTGTGTCTGTGTGTTTGAGCCGACGTCCCTCTTGCTCACCGTTTCACCGTCTCTCTTCCCAGATGGCACGCTGCTGGCAGTGGGATCACATGATAACTTCATTTACCTCTACACCGTGTCGGATAAGGGACGCAAATACAGCAGATATGGGAAATGCACTGTGAGTATCTGACGTGGTTGTTTGCACAGAATTAAAAACAGCTCTCTGTGGAATTGAACAGAAGGTGCATTTAAAGTAGAGCCCGACCGATAAAGGATTTTGAAGGCCGATAACGATACAAATATTTTTGGGTTTTAAAATCCGATATATCGGCCAATATTTTATTTATTTATTTATTTATTTTAAACTGGACATGATAGTCACAAATTTTGTCATGCTTATTTGAGTTGAGAGAACTGATGGGGATGTTCTTTTAATTGTTATTCAAGCAATGTATGTATCGTGCCCAACTCAACGAGTGTTGCCAACAGGGATGGTGTAGAGTGCCCTCTGGTGGACAAACTATACAACTCCAACACTCATGACATGGTTCAAGCGTTATTCGCCCGTTTTTATTTTATTTTTGAAATATTCAGTTATCGGCCATTATAACTGCCGATACCGATAGTTTGGAAAATACCTAATATCGGCCGATAATATCGGTCAGCCGATATATCGGTCTGGCTCTAATTTAAAGTGCCCCTGTTGTGCTATTGTATTGACTCCTACAATAGGTTTAAATGTATCCAAGGTCCAGTCCAATCATTTACGTTCCAGCATCAGATCTTTTCTCACATAGTCTGAGTTTTGGTTTCTCTAAAACCCTCCTTTCTGCTCTGCTGTGATTGGTCAGATGGCCCAGTCTGTTATGATTGGTCGACTGCTTACAGTGCATATCGGAAACCAAATGCTCATTAGCATATCAGTGCACACTGTAAAAAAATGATATGATCGATAAGTTATGACAAAATATGTTTTTATGTTACTTTAACTTGTCAAAATAATTTAAGCAATTAAGTTATTCAAGATTCAACAAAAAAATAGGGGTGTGAATCTCTAGGCACCTCACGATTCGATTCGATTACGATTCAGAGGGCTGCGATTCGATGTTAAAGTGTTTATTGATTATCTGAATCTTTTTGTACTAAACACGAGGTTTAGTCACGTCATTACCGATAGAGGTGGGCGGAGTTATGAGGTTTAACTGACAGTTTGAGGATCCAATGGAGACACGAGGTTTAGTCACATCATTACCGATAGAGGTGGGCGGAGTTATGAGGTTTGACTGACAGTTTGAGGATCCAATGGAGACACGAGGTTTAGTCACGTCATTACCGATAGAGGTGGGCGGAGTTATGAGGTTTAACTGACAGTTTGAGGATCCAATGGAGACACGAGGTTTAGTCACATCATTACCGATAGAGGTGGGCGGAGTTATGAGGTTTGACTGACAGTTTGAGGATCCAATGGAGACACGAGGTTTAGTCACGTCATTACCGATAGAGGTGGGCGGAGTTATGAGGTTTGACTGACAGTTTGAGGATCCAATGGAGACACAAGGTTTAGTCACATCATTACCGATAGAGGTGGGCGGAGTTATGAGGTTTGACTGACAGTTTGAGGATCCAATGGAGACACGAGGTTTAGTCACATCATTACCGATAGAGGTGGGCGGAGTTATGAGGTTTGACTGACAGTTTGAGGATCCAATGGAGACACAAGGTTTAGTCACGTCATTACCGATAGAGGTAGGCTGAGTTTTACGGTGTTTGTGAAGGAAGTGAGACTGGAGTTACTGATGTGTGTGTGTGTGTGTGTGTGGTTTCATTGATGCTTGCTAGCACACAAACAAAACTTCATAATATCAAACTGAGTGATTTATTGTAAAGAAAAATACATCAAAAACACATTTTCCACAAAACATTTGTCAAAAGAACTACAGATCACCACGCTGATTAAGTATTTAAAAATGGCTTCGAAAAGTCAAGTTAGTTCTGAAACAAAATCCAGGATTTGAATGCAGGTTTAATAGTTTATCTACGCAATTCATTTGAGATTCATACATTTTGAAATTTGACTTAAGTGTGCAAAAGTGTTGTAAACCATGTGCAGTGTGGGAATGCTGGACTTCTTCTGACCTACATAAATCACATGTCAGGATGTGTATGAAAGTTGGCAATGGAGCGATAGGTGATCTTTATATTCTAGTTGGAACTGGATAGTGTGCAGATAGCAGGCTTTCACACACACACACACACACACACATAAAGATGTCAGTGCTCATGTGGGAGTGAAGCCTGTGGACTCGGATAAGCAGAGATTGAGCTGGGTGGAAACCCTTCCAGCATTATTTATTTATTATCATTTCCAATCCTTTGATTAGTTGTCCGTGTCTGTGAGACGTTTCCGGTCTCGCTGGAGATTTTAGACTTTTGAACTCAATTGATTTCATGCATCCTGAGCTGGATTACGTAATAATCATTATTTCCTCGGCCCTATGTTGTTTTAAACTTGTATGACTTTGTCTTCTGTGAAATATCGAGATGTGTTTATAAATGAGATATTTTCAGATTGTCCAAGCTGATCTTTTCTAGACATTTAAAATGGATGTTCATTTGCGGTCAGGTTCCAAAAAGGACAACAAAGGACCCTAAAACGCTCATCAAAGTGATCAAACTTGTACGCCACATCTTAGTCTTCAGGATCAGTAATTCCCTTGCACACTTGAGCTAACTTTTAAAAAGAGTACATTTATGAACAATTTCGGACATGCATGTTTTGATTGTCCGCATCTGAGGCAATAAGTGCATTGCATTATATTTACAAGTTATTGAGTTTATTTTAGCAATGTGGGCGCTCAGTTTTTTTCTGTAATTTGGCCAAAATAATAAAGGTATTAAAGATGACGTACTTCACACAGGCTATTTAAGACCATATTGGCTATGACTCGATGACAAACGCTAGATTAAGACACTCTTCTCCGCTCCTCAAATACATAAAACATTTGCCTTTTATATATCATTTTTTGAGTATTAAAAACTCTGTACCTTACTCTGTACATTACCGATAGAGGTGGGCGGAGTTATGAGGTTTGTCTGACAGTTTGAGGATCTAATGGAGACACAAGGATTTAGTCACATCATTACCGATCGAGGTGGGTGGAGTTATGAGGTTTGACTGACAGTTTGAAGATCCAATGGAGACATGAGGTTTAGTCACGTCATTACCGATCGAGGTGGGCGGAGTTATGAGGTTTGACTGACAGTTTGAAGATCCAATGGAGACATGAGGTTTAGTCACGTCATTACCGATAGAGGTGGGCGGAGTTATGAGGTTTGTCTGACAGTTTGAGGATCCAATGGAGACACAAGGTTTAGTCACGTCATTACCGCTAGAGGTGGGTGGAGTTATGAGGTTTGACTGACAGTTTGAAGATCCAATGGAGACATGAGGTTTAGTCACGTCATTACCGATCGAGGTGGGCGGAGTTATGAGGTTTGACTGACAGTTTGAAGATCCAATGGAGACACGAGGTTTAGTCACATCATTACTGATAGAGGTGGGTGGAGTTATAAGGGTTTGACTGACAGTTTGAGGATCCAATGGAGACACGAGGTTTAGTCACGTCATTACCGATCGAGGTGGGCGGAGTTATGAGGTTTGACTGACAGTTTGAGGATCCAATGGAGACACAAGGATTTAGTCACATCATTACCGATCGAGGTGGGTGGAGTTATGAGGTTTGACTGACAGTTTGAAGATCCAATGGAGACATGAGGTTTAGTCACGTCATTACCGATCGAGGTGGGCGGAGTTATGAGGTTTGACTGACAGTTTGAAGAACCAATGGAGACACGAGGTTTAGTCACGTCATTACCGATATAGGTGGGCGGAGTTATGAGGTTTGACTGACAGTTTGAGGATCCAATGGAGACACGAGGTTTAGTCACATCATTACCGATAGAGGTGGGTGGAGTTATAAGGGTTTGACTGACAGTTTGAGGATCCAATGGAGACACGAGGTTTAGTCGCGTCATTACCGATCGAGGTGGGCGGAGTTATGAGGTTTGACTGACAGTTTGAGGATCCAATGGAGACACAAGGATTTAGTCACGTCATTACCGATAGACAGGGCCGGCTTTGCCGACAGGCGACACAGGCGGCCGCCTGGGGCGCCATCTGCTGTACGGGGCGCAAATTGCAGAATTGAAAAAAAAAAAAAAGTTAATTAAATGTATGTATCGTATCATGAAAGCTGCGCACACGCTGTACACTTTTACTGTACATTGTCTACACTACACACTGCTTGTATTTGTCCATTTCTTTTACAAGATTATACAATCCTAAAAAACGACTGACTCCAGGCAGCAGGCAGCTGTCAAACTCACGCGCGTTGCTCAGCAACCGGGAGTGGCGCGAAAACATATGTTATGCGCGAGCCAGATATCTGACAGCTGGTTTTAGCGCTTTAGTTTCCTCGGTGTAATACGCACGGTTCCGTGCCTTCGGCTCAAAATAGTCCTCGTCGGCTTTGTTTCGCCCGATTCGACATGTTGACAAGGGGATGCCCGCGTATATTCAAAATGGTTGTCACGCGCTGCTTTGTTTACGTTATGTGTATCTGCAGCCGGCCGACAGCGTCGGTTTTCCTTTATATCGCCAGAAATAGACAGTTGGCTCATTGCACGCAGGCGCAGAATATAGCTGACAGTCGCCTGTAGTTCTCTCGGTGTGTTCAAGTCATGGTTCAAGTGCAGCTTTTTACCCCGGCTTTCATCAGCGCTAGTTCGTCGGCGTTATATTAACCTTCAAATGGTCTTCGTTTCCTGTTTACACTTCTGGGCTTCGGGGTCTATACGACCAACAATTGATTGAGTAATTGTACAAAAAATATAAATTTTTAATCATACAAATATTATATATATATATATATATATATATATATATATATTATTTTTTGTTTACTTCTCATCTATTCATTAATGCTGTGTTTTTGGAGATATAAAGTACTTTTGTATCCATATACCACACAATTCCTCAACTACATTAGCTTGCATGAATTTTTTTTTAACGATACATTATGCTCTAGTACTAGGCCTTCATTTCTGTGTAAATATTTTCAGATTTATGCTGGATTTTTTTTTTTTGACACATGAAGAAAATATTTTTAGTCTTTTTTTATTACTATTTTTAATTTTTTTTTACAATGGGGGGGGGGGTTGGGGGGTTGAGGGCACTCTCGCCTTGGGCACCAAATAACCTAGAGCCGGCCCTGCCGATAGAGGTGGGTGGAGTTATAAGGGTTTGACTGACAGTTTGAGGATCCAATGGAGACACAAGGTTTAGTCACAAGCTCTTTTTATTACTTCATTTATTATTCATTCATTGGTTAAATATTTGCAATTGATGATTTATAAAATTAAAATAACAGTAATGATAAAATATGGAGATGCAAGTTTTCAACATTGTTTTGGTCTTTTCCTTGCACAAAGATATTGTTTGGCTATTGAATGCACTGGTTGAATGAATTCACATTTATAGTGCTCGTTTTGTCGTCTTTGGAACTAAACCGTATAAAAACACTACATTTCATTGCAGGGAAAAGATGAGCTTAGCTATTCTACAAAATATCTTCATTTGTGTTCCCTGGAATATTTTTTTTCTTGCAAAACATACAGTGATGACATTTTTTTGACATACAACTTTTGAGTTTCAAATCTTTTAATCTGTTTCCTCAGGGACATTCCAGCTACATTACACATCTTGACTGGTCCCCCGACAACAAGTTCATCATGTCCAACTCAGGAGATTATGAAATCCTTTACTGTAAGTGTCTGACCGCGGAAAAATCTCTCTGAAAAAACATTAATATCCGATCATATTACATTTTTTGTGTCTGTGTTTGCGTAAAATTCACCATGATTGTTTCAGAGTGTGGTTTGTCGCTGAAACGTTGCGTTTTGTTTTCCCGCTTCCACAGGGGACATTCCAAACGGTTGTAAGCTGATTCGTAACCGCTCTGAGTGCAAGGACATCGACTGGGCCTCGTACACCTGTGTGCTCGGATTCCACGTCTTTGGTCAGTGTCTGTGGAGTGATGCATTGTGGGAGTTATTGGTTAGAATGACGCCTGCATTAATTATGTATTATGAGTATTGTGTGTGAGTGTTATGCGTATGCATGTCTCGTCAGTGTTTTCCAAACGTGTGTCTGGTATTTGAACTGTATGCTCTATTTAACACTCATTTCCTGTCAGTGGTTCAGTCTTGAGGGGGTCTTAGTCATGCTCTCGCTCACACACACCAACACACAGTTACTGGCAGTCTAAATGAGCACATTTTGGACCTCTACTGTTTTTATATAAAGTAAATTATAAACTATATATATGAAGAGTTCAGATGCAAAAGCCTCTAAATGCCATTTGAAATTTTCTTCTAAAATGACCATTTTTATCAAGCTTGTATATTTAAGTTCAGTAATTTCACTTAAATGACAATTAATAGGTAATCTTCATTGCCATTTAAGTGAAATTACTGAACTTAAATATACAAGCTTGATAAAAATGATCATTTTAGGAGAAAATTTCAAATGACACTTAGAGGCTTTTGCATCTGAACTCTCTCTCTCTCTATATATATATATATATTTTTTTTTTTTTTTTTTTTTTTTTACTGTGTGTGTGTGTGCATGATTTTCTATCCTGGTGGGGACTTAACCCTGAATGCACACAGACTCATGGGGACTTGTTGTTACTTTGTGGACCTAAATTGAGGGTAAACGTGCTTATAAATCATACAGAATTATTATTTTTTAATGTTAATGTTTTAATGTTTCCTGTGATGAGTAGGTTTAGGCGTAGGGTTAGTGTAAGAGGATGAAATATACAGATGGTACAGTATAAAAACCATTACGTCTATGGAGATACGTCCTCACAAAGATAGTAAACCAGACGTGTGTGTGTGTGTGTTTGCAAAAGAATACTCATCCTCAAAAAAACAGTAAAAGGAGTAATATTGTGAAATATTATTAAAGTTTAATATAACTGTTTTCTATTTAAAACATTTTTTAATTATAGTAGTATGCAGTCTAGTAATATGCAGTATACATAGTGTGTGTAAATGGAGATGTCCCCCAGAGGAAGGTTTTGTCATATTTAGCTTATTTTCTGCTGACACATGTTGCTCATCACCCGTTTATTAGTCTGATTGTCAGTCATCTGTTCTCTTCGTCTTTATTCACGCAGTTATAGTCTGTCGTTGTAATTTCGCTCCAATTCTGAGTGACTTCATGTCTAAGCAGGATGATTTACAAAACCCAAAAGTAGTTGAGGCCACAGAAGTCACTTTATCTGTCAGCGGAGTGTGCTGTCTGTAATGCTGGAGACGGCTGCACGTTTACACAAAGACAGCCCAGTCTTCACCACAGCTCCACATATTTTAGCACTTTATTAGACTGGAAAAATATTTGGTTGAACTGTACGAATTCCTCAGCACTGAGCCAATAGATTAGAGCAGTGCGATGAATGATGCTACAGAAAAGTGTGTGTGTGTGTGTCCTATACCTGGTGTTCTTCTGCCTCCTGCTGGTGATCTTGCTGAAGGCTCCTTATCCATTTATGATCATAGTTTTTGACTGTGCTAATGAATATTATATTGTCAAAAAATACCTTGCCTTGTTAAAAATTAAGAAGGAATTGAATTCTATTACTTCTTGCCACCAGTTTAAGATTAAATTACAAATTTGGGTAAATGTGTAAGCTTTATGCCTACAGAATATTTAGTCAGCCACTGATTGTGCAAGTTCTCCTACTTAGAATAATGAGAGAGGTCTGTAATTTTCATCATAGGTACACTTCAACTATGAGAGACAAAATGAGGAATTATTTTTTTTTAAAGCATTTATTTGTAAATTAAGTTATAGTATTAAATTAAAAGCAGTCATGAACCATATTCATCAATGCAATTGTTTAAAGGGGCTATACGTAACAATGTTCATGTATCATGTGTGAACAGTGTGTTATGAAACTTAAAAAATGAGATTTCCTAGGTATAATCTATTGTCTCAAATATACTCTATAATCAATCTATCATAACATTGTGATTTGAATGATCTGTTGATATGACGGGCTTATGCAAATATATCCACATCAATCTGATCTATGATTGATTGAAATCTTCACAGTGTAATAATAACCTTTGACTGACTAAAATGACTCTTATATGAGCAAGAACATTCTAGAAAAGTGTGTGTGATGCACCCGTTTATGTCTCGCTTAGTGGAAAAACAAACGAGGCAGTAATAAGCATGATGTAATGTTTTGTTCCTCCGCGTTTCTTGGAAATATCACTTGTTTGAAAAGCTACATTGTTTTAATAGTGACAGGCTTGTGATGAATGTAGTTATTAAATTGATAGAATCTTTATTGTAGTTACAGTGTTGTGATGTGTGTGTGTGTGTGTTACAGGTGTTTGGCCGGAAGGCTCAGACGGGACAGATATCAATGCCCTGGTGCGATCTCACAACAGGAAGGTGATCGCTCTGGCTGATGACTTCTGTAAAGTGCATCTTTTCCAGTATCCCTGCTCAAGACCAAAGGTCTGTCACACACACCACCTTCTCTGCTGTAGTTCAGAGCAGTTTATCCCTATGGCTGTGGAGAGATGATCACAGAAGCAAACACATGGTTAAAACCAGATCATTCTCAGTTGGTCTGGCAAAGTGTCATAAACCATGTTTCCTTCGACACGTTTTTATCCGAATTAAGTGATATTGAATGAAAAATGCCTTATGGAAACTCGATGAAATTCGATGAAATCGGATTTTATCTTGATCGATATACTGCTAATGCCATAAAAGCTGATTGAAACGTTATTTGCCGAATAGAGAATACAACCCCTTCAACAACCGCCTCGCATACATTATCCCGTACATATATCTCTATCAATTGGCACATAAGCATTATTAGGCTTCAACTTGTGAAATATTGATCATTTGTTGGTAGATGGCGCGATCCGTTTGGTCTAACAAAACTTCGTTTGCAAAAGTTTGCTTGAATGTTGTTCGATTCAGTGCGAAAATGAATGGAAACACCTTAAAATGTCTCAAATCAATTCGATAAACCAATTTGATCGCAAAACAGCATGTGACGTCATTACGTACAGGTTTTTATTCGCTTTAAAGCCGTTGGATGGAAACGCACTTTCACCAGCTTTATCCGCATGAGTTTTTTAACAGAACTTCAGATAATTCGATTGACAAGTGGATGGAAACATGGTTATAGACAAATCATTTCCAGAGGGAAATGGATATCACCAACGGATATCACGGATAGACCTAAAACCAATCAGAGCGATGAAGGAGATGACGTATGCAGAATGGCGGAGATACATCCCTGAGTGTTGTTCTTTGCTCGATTTTTAACAAAAAAAAAACGTTCGAATCGCCTAAAACAGACGCGATAGCTGATCCAAATGAGTGATGTTCGACGACGGCGTCCATCTTTGCAATGTAGGCTACAAAATCTGCTTCAAAATCCCAGCGCTGTCGTCATCGTGTAAAGCCCGCCTCAACGTTTCTGATTGGTGCCGCGATTTCGACGGATTGGAAATGGGCTTGAATGAGCTCTTTGCCAGACTAACTTTCAGAGCAAATTTGCCGGAAGTTGTCTGGGTTTTCCCAGGCTAAACACATGGTTTAATTCAATTCACAATACAAATTGTTTCAAAGCATCTTTACAGAAAGTGCATTTCAGAAATGTACATAGAAAAAATACAGTTAGTTAATCGTGGTTTGTCAGATCTGTGCGCTAGGGCATGATATAATCTCACAGTTTAGTCATATGTATAGCTCCTAACTTAATAAAACTGGCTGTAAGGAATGAGTTCCAGGGATTTATGTACTATAATATATACTATTGTCTAGAGCCCCACCGATAAAGGAATTTGAAGGCCGATACAAATATTTGTAGGTTTTAAAATCCGATATATCGGCCGATATTATTATTTCAGAAACTCGCAACAAAACATTAACAGATTTCCCTAACATTAGTTATTTGTAGTTATTTATGAGTTTTAACTAAAATAATATGATAATGCATTTTAAAAAGAAACTTTTATTTTATTGTCCCAACAGAACAGACTGATAGTGGCATTAGCTAGTTTTGTGGTTAGCTAGTCTATGAAGAGCCATAATTTAGCAATACTGCAAATTGTAAAACATACATTTTCAATATAACAGGCCAAGGAGAGATGATACGTCTCAGTGCTATAACTGTCACGCGCTATTAAAGAAATACTTCAGTCACATTGTCAAAAGTTAAAAGGACAGTCAGTCAACTACACTGTAACAACGTAACGCAACTATTACTAGCTAATTCCGCTTCACTCTCGGCTTATTTAACAGCAGCAAAACACTCATGACATGGTTGAAGCGTGTTTCGTCCGTTTTTATTTTATTTTTGAAATATTCATTATCGGCCATCATAACTGCCAATACCGATAGTTTGGAAAATGCCTAATATCGGCCAATAATATCGGCCTTCCGATATATCGGTCTTGCTCTACTATTGTCACGTGCCTGTGATTATCCCTCCCATAGCTGTCAACCCTCCCGTTTTTTCCGGGTTTCTCACGTATTTTTACTCTTTTCCCGCTGTCTTCCCGTTTTAGTATTTTCCCGTAAAATATCCCGTATTTTTACTCTGATTGTCGTTTATTCTCAGATGCGGCGCCGCGCGCGCTGGCCGGAGACACACTGGCTGTGTGGCGTGTCCGTTTTTATTTCGGTTCCCATGTTAACAGATCCAGAAAAACGCGTGCATGCTAGAAATAGAACTGACGCCTATTTTTTCACGCGACACGCAAGCGTGTTGAAAGCGTTTCCAGGCAAAAAATAATAAATAAAAAATAGGAAACGATGTTTATATGTCATTTTGTACTGGAATAGCCTACATTTTACATTTTGATGTTTGAAAGTCAAGGTTTTTACATAAATTCAGATATCAATGTAATTTAAACAAATAATAATTATAATAATCAATTTATATTGCCATTAGTTTTGCCTATATATAATTTAATGTCATATAACATATGAATAAAATATCTTTTCTTTTCTTTTTTTTCATTTGTTTCTTATGCTCTTAACAATGATTACACAAAGAAGAAGAAAAAACTTTTTAGGATATAAAGATGGGATGGGCTACAATAACAACAGAGTGTGTCTTCTGAGTGACGGTCCACCACCAGGCTAAATATAGGCTCTTTAAAACTACATAAAATGTGTAAATGTAATTGAAATAAACAGACAGCCCACTTCCCTATTTTGTGGGTTTTGGAAGATGTGATAACAGTTGAAATTGTTGTCGCAAAGGCAAGAGCAACACACCGCTAATCCAAATGTAGATTTTTTTTTTCTTTAAATGACACTAGTTTCTAGGCTAGTTATTAACTCTTTAGACTTTTAAGGATTAGTGCTTTATTTTTAAAGTTTGTGGGTAAGAATGGTGTAAAAAAAAAAAAATCCCTTATTTTGGGGAAGGATTCCGGGAAAACTCCCTTATTTTCAATGTTCAATGTTGACAGCTATGATCCCTCCGTGTGCAAATGTTAGCATGCGTGCCATCGGTTTAAAGAGTATTTTTACCTTTTCAGACGGTTCAGACTGCAAATTTGCATTCAAAACATCATTCCTGTATCTGATTTAGTACCACATATACAAGTGGCCCAAATCAGAATTAAAAAGATCCGATTGCATGTGCTGTTTACACTGTTATGGAAAAAACAATCTGATTCGCTTATGAGAAAAAAAATTGGATTTGAATCCTCTTCTTCCTGCCGCCTGAACGTAGTTGGGTGAATTTCCCAAGGCCAGGGCGATTATGTCATTGATTTATTTGAAATTTGATTGGTTTTGTTATTTAATTGCAGGCCCCAAGCCACAAGTACAGCGCCCACAGCAGTCACGTGACAAACGTGAGCTTCATGCACAACGACAGTCACCTGATTTCAACGGGCGGCAAGGACACGAGCATCATGCAGTGGCGTCTGGTGGAAAAGACCTCTTCCCTGGTGCACAGCGACTCCAGCTTGGGCCTGGGCGATTCCCTGCTGCACAACTCCACCCCTCGCCCTGTGGCGTCGGTACCCACTGAGCCCATGCCGGTGCCAGCCTCGCTACCCATCAGCACCCAGCCTGACGCCAACACTCCCCCTCCCACGCCCCCCGAACCCCTGCACACGGCCACCCCTAACGGACAGCAGGACGGCTCGGCCGAGACCCCGCCCCCTTCGGATGAGGCCACGCCCCTCTCTGACAGCACCCTGAGCCCTAAGGACAGCCTCGAGCCTAGCGACGACACGGCCACGCCCAGTGACGAGGGCATGCCCTTTAACCCCCCCTTATAAAGCGGCCCGACCCCTTCTCTCGCCTGCTCAAATTCCTGGCGGATTCTTCTCAGTTTTTATCCTTTCGAGATTTTCGTTTCGTGTCTTAGTTTGTTGTTACGTCGACGGTTTGTTCGGTGGATGCGGTCGTGGAGGCATTGGTCCGATTCGGATGGTGAGGGATTAGGAATGTGTAGTTGAAAACACACACACACACACTACCACACGAACACTAATACACGGAAAAAAAGAGGGAAACCGAATTACCAGTTCATACACACAGACTAACATACAAATGGACACATGCTTTCAATTGATTGGCATTTGGGATATACAACAATACTCTTATTGATTTTCCTCGCTTAACGAGATGGTTCCCTTAAAAATACAAATAGTCATCCTCATGTTCTTCCAAACCTGTATGACTTTCGTTGTTTTGTAGACGTTTTAAAGATGTTCCGAAAACAACAATGGACCCCTTTGACTTTCATTCTTCAAAATATCTGCTTTTGCGTTCTGCAGAAGCCAAGTCATGCAGGTTTGGAACGGAATGGGGGTGAGTGAATGATGTTCATGTTCAGATGTTAAAATAGCCATTTTAATGAGGTCACATGACGCTCATTTGTATTCTCTCGCTCTCTGTGAACATTGGTGGAGGAAAACACTGCATGTAAAGCTGATTTGCATGCTTGCATAGCATCTTTCCCTGAGCCAAAAACTACTGGACATGTATATCTGGCGACACCAGGCTTACTGGTCGGACTCAAGGACCTCGACGATTCAGGCCATTTAATGATTATCATCGCCTCGAATAGCCATAAACAAAGCAAACACAAGCCTGACCTGCCTCAAGATGGGCGATAAATCCCCCCCAGCGTCAGTCTAAAGATGCCGTGCCACCCTCACATCTCCATCCGTTTTAATCCTTCATCCAAATGACTCTCTTCACTGAGACTCGATTGTTTTTAGGTTTCATTTTGGGACTGTTTTTTTTTTCTTGTCATTTTGTTCGTCGGACTGAGATGTTCTTGTTTTTTACCGTATGAGAGAAAGGAAAGATTAAACGAGTCTTAAATGTGCGTGCGTGAGTGTGTATGTGCACGCGAGTCGCCGCTTCTTTCATTCCCTCTCTCCCTCACATTTTCTCAGGATCACTCTTTTTGGAGAGAGTCTAAAAGAGAAAGTCGAATGTTTCCCTCAACTCCTTTTTGGAATAGCACCAGAAAGTACCGTGATTTGCACTCAATGGCAAAAGTATTGCGTTCACCAGAGAAACTTTGCGTTTATCATATGATTTGGCACAAGTATTGGCGAGTGCACACAGATATTCTCAGGGGAAAACAATACTTTTGCAAGAGAACGCAATATAATATTTTTTTCTCCCATCTAATTTTTTCTCCCTTTTACTCAAAAAATACCATATGATACCACCACTGTTCCATGATACTGCCACAGTACTGGATGCTCCCAAGCCTTTATGTGTTCCCCTCAACAATGCATGGAAATATGGATGAAAAAGAAGCTCAACTAAATAATCAATATACGACCTATGGATTTTACATGCTTCAGTATCGTGTGATGAAAAAATGATCAAAATCAGAGAGTCCTCCGGCTGCTTGATGAACGAGAACCGAAATCATCAATATTATGACATGAGAACCAGTGTTGTAGTACTCGAGACTCGGACTCGTCTCGGACTCGGTCTCGAGACCATATTTTAATGGTCTTGGTCTTGTCATGGACTCGTGTGCATTTGGACTCGGAATTGACTCGTACTCGAAAAATTTTTTTTTTAGGACTCGGAATTATTCCCGAGTCCACCCGAGTTCAATTAAAAATATTTTTCATGATTATTAATGTATGTTAATTAAATATTTCTTTAAATTGATTGACACGCCCAGTGATTGGTGATTTTCTAGTGCGCAACTGCGCATGACAAATTGTAATAAAATTACTTTTAACACCACCACCATGTGGCCTTTTTACCCTCGACTCTCTATGGACTCGGTCTTGACTCGGACTCGACTCTCTCTGGTCTCGGTGTCGACTCGGACTCGAGTGAGGTGGTCTCGACTACAACACTGATGAGAACGGCTTTCAAACCAGCTTTACTTGAGGGAAGCATTGTGAGGTGATGAATTGCTCTCTTTGTGCAGTCTCTGTTGACAAAAGCATGGTTTACACACTCAGATTTCAGGATGTGATGCCGTAATGGCGGATGGGATTGGGAAACGTGGCACAAATACACCTTTACGGTCATTTTCCTTCCTTTTATCATGAAAGAATGACAATCTTCTGTGACGTGAATGATATCATACACGTCAGCATTCAGATACTCAGTATTGAAGGATGTCAAGACTCGACTGCCTCACGTTCACACAGTATGTGTCTGATCCAGGGGATTTTTAAGTGCATGAAATGGATGTATTAGCTGGCTTTAGATGGAGTGTGGTGTTTGTGTGTAATGCAACTTTTGCGCTGTAGATGGTGTGTAGTCGAATGCCCCTCAGCTGGTCTGCAGTTAACTTTTTATACCTTTTTTATGGACTACTCCTGTTTTTTTAAGCAAGTGGGAAGGTTTTCACTGAGATTGCCTTAGATAGATTGTCCATCCGAGTTTTTTGTCTTGTCCTGTACAGTGGGACACTTACGCCACACTTAAAATGTATGAATTTCAAAGCATTAGGCCTAGTTAGGGAAGTGGCATTGTAACTGAAACATAGAAATTCAAGCTTGACATTTGAATGAGTTCAAAATGAAGACAAAAGTACTGAGACACGTTGTGGATGTCAAACGTTTAATGTGTTTCCTCTGCTAGGACTTGAGATGAAAGTGCCCACTTAATATATGCACTAAAACCACCAGCTGATTAAAAGTCATTGACAAATGGCTCATAAAAGCGATCATATTGTATCTAATGTAATGGCATTCAGACCTCTTTTAGTGTGACTTAAGTATCAAAATACTTTCGGGGCCATTTGCCTGTACGCCTGGCCTCTTAAATCTCAGAATCTCTACACAAGTTGCAGGCGAGTACGTCGCTCTTTCACACACCTTCGTTGTCATCTTTGTTGTTGCATTCAGGGCTGGCTTTATTGTGTATATATTGGTGTACCTGTATGTATATAACTATTTTGCGGGGAGGGCGGTGCTCTGAAGTGCTTCATGTCATTTCATGATTTCATCCACAAGAAAAGTGAGGTATGGACGAGTTCAGATGCGTTGGAGACTCCAAGAACATGCTCGTTTATCTGAAAGCGGTTAGCCGAACGGAGCGTTGCATACACAAATGTTGCTTGAATGTTGCTGATGATCTGCCTTGTTTTTTGATGTTGAAAAGAATGGTGTGTTGGAAGTAGTAATGGTGAAGGTTTGTATTCAAAAACACGAGGAAACCATGGATATCAATGTATTGGGCTTCACCGTTGAGGAGACTGTTGTTAGTGTTTTTATATCTGCTAATATCCAAGAGCTAATTTCCAAAACATACACGGGAGAGAGAGGAAATGCAAACGTCCGGGTCTAGATTCCCATCTGGTGATTGTATTTACACTTGGAGGAAATGTTGGGCTTGAGTTCAGCTCTGGACTTCGAAAAGCTTTACTGTTTGCAGGGTGTCTGATTATATACTCATCGGATAACGGTGCCGAGAAAAAGCTAAACTTGTTTTGATGAAAAGAATGACCGTTATGACCGCATGATCCTGATTATGCAAATGATTTAAGGATGTTAACAAAATATGGAAAGGCAACTTCTTTTTTTTTTTTTTTTTGTGACAAAGTTTGAGCCAATCTGTCTCTTATGCATTCCTGCCAATGGGCAGAAAATACTGAAGAATTTAGAAAATAAAGAAACATTTTAAAAACAGTTGTGTATTTCTTCTGGAGATGCCTTCAGTCATTTATACATTTAAAGATCTTTCACTAATGTTTTACACCTAAATAATTAAAAAAAAATTACTTTTGACAAATGTTTAAAACAGTGTACACTCATGACCAGCTGAGTATTGCTCACTTTATCTCTTTAACTTTCTCTATTATTCAACTCTTCGGTTGTGTAATAAATTAGTCATGGGCGACAAATGAACCTGTCTGTGTGTGGCCTCTGTAACCGAAAACCTGAAACGCTTTCGCGAGCTTCTACATCCACACCAGTAGGTGTCAGTATAAAGTCCGACACCACTGTGGTTTCCACGGAAGTCTACAAGTTTTCTTTTTCTTACAAACCAGGTCTGCGCCTCTAATCGCATACTCTTTTGAGTAGATACTAATTTTAAACTAAAGACCTCTAAAAAGTGTTTAAAAGTGTACAAGTGTGTTCCAGACGCAGGTGTACTATATCGCAATCTTGTCATTATTGTGACCAACTACAGTTGCGTTGCCCATTCACCATCCATCGTACACTTCCGAATCTCACCAGAAATAGTAGGTCATCATCAGGTACTTGCTTTACATTCTGTTTCTTTTGTCACATACTGTTTTTCAACTACCTTATAGTAGGGAAGTGTGCATTATTACATTGCATTTGATACTATAAACCAGAACATTATTTTAATAGACTCGAAAATGTCATTGGCATTAGTGGAATTGCATTGGCAAATCATACTTATCTGACCGTTACTAAATTTTAGCAGTAAATGATCGATGTCACATCGATCACAAGTTATGGAGTACCACAAGGCTCAGTACTAGGACCATTGCTGTTCGCTCTTTACATGCTACCCCTGGGACTTGGGTGATCTCATTAGGAAGCATGGCTTTAGTTTTCACTGATTATACTCGCCTCTATATTTCCTCACGCCGTGAGAAACTACTAATTTACTAAATTAACTGAATGCATAGCTGATAAAAAAATAGATAAGTAATTTCCTATTACTTAATTTTAAAATAAATGAATAAATAAACAGATTATAATTATTGGACTAAACGACTCTGGACTGTTTCATGTAACTTAGTTCTCCCTCGCTGTGTTATGGGTTTGTTATGTGGGAATAAATGTGCTGTTACGTTCGTGAGACAGCTGAAAGCCTACTCATGTCATTGACCGCGTAAAACATTATGTTACAGGAATCACTAACCCGTCGATCTTGTAAGAGATCTAAGTCGATCGCGAAGAGTTTTCAAAATCAGAGAAAAAAGCCTATTGTGTGTAGTAAATAGTGTCTATGAGATGCGGAGGTGCGCGCGCTGTTACAGTCATGTAATTTTTGCCGCGCGCACCTCCGTCCTTTGGACTCATGGGACGCATCGAGTATAAACGAGGTTTTACCCATCTCAGCCACAGTAACAGCTCATATTAGCCAGCTAAACTATTACTACCCTGTTAGAAAAAATATATAGCTACATATAGTTTCATGTGGTTCTTCTCCCTCACTGTATGTTTGTTTGGAGAGAAAAAGTGCTACTGGTTACGTTTGTGAGACAGTCAGCTGATTACTATTATTATATTAAATTATATATTAAAACCCTTGATCCTCACCTGACTATGGCTTTGTAAACTGTATCCATGATGTGGTTTATAATGGACTGTGGTACAGAAACAGTAACATTAATGTTACACACTCTTGTCTTACTCTGGCTATTCTCTGCTGTCTCAGCCGACGAGATGTGTGCCCCGTTTTAGCAACTTCTTTAGCAATTTTTACCGACTGACATTGTGTGGCTACGTGAGCTAAGAGTCGCGAGATCCTCAACCACATGGGCTGATCTGATAAAGAAACGGCCCTGAGCTCTCGTTGCATTTTCTGATATGTAAAACATGAGTTTAGTGGAAATTTACTGTGTTCCCCCTCCATACTTACTGGGGGGTAGAAGTTCACCTTTTGCAAGGGACAGTAGAAATTAGCATTCATGAATTTGGAAGTAGACCACATTCATAGAGTGTGCCAGTTATTCATATATTCTTAAGATCTTTATTACCTTTTGATTTACTTCTTTAGGAATGAGTCACCCTGAGTCCTTTAAAATGATAGGCTACTAAACACAATCCTTAATGATAATCATTCAAATTAAAACCATATTCTTTTGTGAGTGTGGGATGCGGGGAAGGAGTGTGAGAGGTGTTCGAATGTTCATTTGCAGGCAAGGTCCTTCGTCTCTCAGACCTGTGTTGAGGTTGATCTTCAACCAGTTCTTCTAGTCTTACAAGAACAAAACCCAGCGCTGTAACTGAGACCATTGGTAAAGTTCACTGTTTATTCAAAAATAGGCATTACTGTTTGGTTGTGTACCATAAAAACATTTTGGGTTACATTGCTAGAAAGAATATCATGTGCATTGCAATAATTATAACATATGCCTTTTTACGTTACTCCCAACCATTTCTACTAGTGCTTAACCGAACCAACCCCATGCTAGTATACTTACTTATTGTGATTATTTATTAAAATATTCATAATATGAGTATAAAACACAGTTAATTTCGAAAGATGCTTTTTTCTGAATGGTGTAGATGCAACATCCACCAACAGGGGGCAACAGAGTCCGAGTCATTCCAGCAAAACCTTGATCCCTCAGTCGTGTGAGTCAGCAAAAAAATAAAAATAAAACACACATTAAAAAAAAGAGCTTGCTGCCCCTGTAACCTCTGAAGTTTGGACGAGTAAACAAGCAGCAGACCTTGAATGATGTTTGCTCTTCAGTCTGTGTTCGAGAGAGAGGTTATGTTGTGTGCATTTCTTCCTGACTCAGAAAAACGGCCTGTTCTCTGCTGTACTGATAAACCTTGATTTATTTGTTGATTTCTGGATGACTAATATTATTTCTTCACTATATTATGAGCATGCACATGAACAAGACGATATCTACATTAAGAACATGAAATCACAGTCTGATTGTCAATTTTGCAACGTTGTTGCAGTGGTGTTGGAACATGATGATGATGAAGGAAGCTGGCTGAGTGTGAAGATCAAGCATTGCACTTGCTTTCATAACAGCAATTCCAGCCTTTCCTTTGACAGAAGTTCATGCTGACGCAGCCCTTCTCTCCAGTCACTGTGAAAGAGAAGATTTGAAATATATCATATTTTATCTTCCTTTTCCTAGATGATCGGTTTGAAACATCTACAAAATGAGGAGACCAAGGGCAATTGTTATGTGCTAAATTTCCTAAAATCAACTAAAAATCAGATTAATTTTTTCTTCAACTGTTCAAAGTTTAGATGACTTTAACTGGAATTCACACCAGGTTGTTAGTTGTGCAACTTTGATGTTTCCAACAGAAGTCAGTCGCATTGTGATGAAATCGTTCTAATCTTTGAAACTGTATTTGATCTGATTGTGGAATGTGGAAGCGTGCAGTTTGCGCACTCATTTACCTCTGGTGTAGCAGGCCTGAGGAACTTTACTTTTGCAGTGCAGGACCATGTTCCTCACCATCAGGAAATCCTCCCCATAGCAATCGATGGAATAATCCGCTGCACCACAAACAGACAAACCGACCGGCCATTAGAACAGTACAATGATGACGGTTTCAGACATTTACGACGTTCCTGCATTAAAAGTCCTAATAAACCCTCTACCTGTTAACTGTCTTTCAACTGCTTTTTAAACATAGCCTACAAGTGAGAAAAAGCACTAGCCAACCTTAAATAGTTGTAATTTGTGAATGTTTTGGAATAGGTTGGTCTCTCAAAATTTTTAAGAAGCAATCTGCAGATTATAGCTCAAATTGAAACGCTTGGGGAAAAAAATAAAGTAAAATAAAAATGACAGAAGTTTAAGGTTACTGTAATAAATAGTTTGCCTATTAATCACTTTTTCTATTTTAAACTGTATATATATATATATATATATATATATATATGAAGAGTTCAGATGCAAAAGCCTCTAAGTGCCATTTGAAATTTTCTTCTAAAATGATCATTTTTATCAAGCTTGTATATTTAAGTTCAGTAATTTCACTTAAATGGCAATGAAAATTACCTATTGTTTGTCATTTAAGTGAAATTACTGAACTTAAATATACAAGCTTGATAAAAATGATCATTTTAGAAGAAAATTTCAAATGGCATTTAGAGGCTTTTGCATCTGAACTCTTCAAATATATATATATATATATATATATATATTTTTTTTCCTTCATCAAACCTGCATGTCTTACTAATTTGTTTTGGCATTGTACCAAAAATAGGCACCAGGAGACATTCCATTGACTTTCTCATGTCACTCATCACTTCTATCACAAAACAGTCAGCAAATATGGAACCTTGAGTCTCATAACTTTCCAACGATATGTCTCTTCAACATAAGAAAAAGGTTTGATTCTAAAATAATGCAATACATTGTGTTATATGAAACATGACACCAGAGCAGCTAAAAGGGTTTAAAGGAGTAGTTCACTTTAAAAAACTTTTGTTGATAATTTACTCACCCCCATGTCATCCAAGATGTCCATGTCTTTCTTTCTTCAGTCGAAAAGAAATTAAGGTTTTTGCCAGTATATTTCTCCATTATAATGGACTTCAATGGGAACGAAACAGTTCAAGGTCCAAAAGACAGTTTCAGTGCAAACTGCAAATGAACGATGAATAAGGGTCTTATCAAGCGAAACGATCGCTCATTTAGTCACGAACGTGCATCACATAACAGAGCAAGGTGACCAATTGAGCTTATAAAACTTAAACTTTTTTTTTTTTTTTTTTTAAATGAGCGATTAAAGACCCTTATTCATCGTCTGGAATCTTTTAAGGCCCTTTGAACAGTGTGCAGTTTGCACTGAAACTGTCTTTTGGACCTTGAACTGTTTGGCTCCCAGTAAAGTGCATTATATGGAGAAAAATCCTGGAATGTTTTCATCAAAAACCTTAATTTCTTTTCGATTGAAGAAAGAAAGACATGGACATCTTGGATGACATGAGGGTGAGTAAATTATCAGCAAAAGTTTTTTTTAAAAGCGAACATTTCATCTATTTTCAACAACAAAGTACAATACAGCAGACAGTAATGATCTGATGTGATTTGGTCTGACTTACCCATGCAGAGAGGCAGCAACAGGAGCAGGACGAACAAGGCCTTCATTGTGGATCTGTGTTTTGCTGATGCAGTGTCAGTGTTGTCCAGCTGTCTGTTGGAATCTGAGCTTTTGCACTTTTATAGCGTTAATGTGGATACGCAAGTGTGACGTGTTTCAAACACACCCATACGCACAGTGTGCAAAGTGTAAACTGTCTTATCTTTTAGAAACAAATGGTGATGAAATGCGTGTTATCATGGATTTGGTCAGAAATACACACTGACATTTTTTTTCTCACAATTTCACAAATACAAAGAAACAGCAAGTATATTAACTTCTATAAACTAATATTTAAGTAGCATTTTATTTTACAGTCCTGTTCCACATATACATACTAAGTACTTATTATAGCAATTAAAATAACTAGGTAATAAAGTTTTTTAATGTAAAATAACTCTGAACCAACCCCTAAACCTAACCTTTCTTAGGCAAGTACACTGTAAGTACATGTACTGTAAAAAACATTTAAATGAATAATTTTGCAATACAGTGCACTGGATTGTGTGCATATGTATTTATATTGTAGCCTACTTGTATTTAAAAGTACTTTAATGTAAATAGAATTTCATTAAAATTACACTGTTGACCGTCCCTTAAGCCTTAACTGTACCCACGCCACCAAACCTGTCCTGACAAACCTTATCCTGCGCAGACTAACCTTATCCTGCTCAAAAGCAGCACAAGTCTTTCGCAATACATCATCAACACACTTAGTACAGTGTAATGTACTTAGGACACCATAGCCTGCTGCAAAAAAGAAAAAAAAAAGTTGCTGCCCTCAATTTTTAAGTACAAGCAACTTGGATTTTAAGTCATTTCAACTTTAAAAATGAGTTGAATCTTGTATAATTGATTTTTAAAAAGTTGAAAAGCATGCAAAAACATAGTTGTCATAACTAATAACTATCACATAATGTATTTTTTACAGTGATTTTTCTTTCTTTTTTTATTAGATTCTTTGTTTAATTTACTTTAACAACTTACTGTTTAATAAACCATGTTTTGTTGGATATTGTGTTATTCACATTTTCAAATGTGAATAAAATTGATCTACCGGTGCAGTTCGAGCAGTTAAATTTAATGCTTGGATGATTGAATCCAATTGGGGTTAACGTTGATCGACCAGAACGTCAGACTTCCTTCTTTTGACACTTCTGATGGTGCGAAGCCAGTTCACATTCCAGAGCTGAGAACATCAACACTAGTGATAACATTGTGTTTATTTTCAAAACAAAACACTTTAATGCAGCATCATATAAAAACATCTTTTTGTGTAAGACGTCCTATGCTGTAGAGCATGTGTCATAGTGATAGTTCTGTGTTTAAGTGAATCATCCGGTACATGATGATCTGATAATGATTGAGCTGCTTGTACCTGGGAGTTTAAAAGGTTAAGATGTGCCAGCCAAGGTGAACCTTTAAAAGGTTAGTTTAGTTCTGTCAGTAATTGCTCACCCTCATGTTGTTCCAACCCCTGTAAGACTTTCTTTCATCTTCGGAACACAAATTAAGGAGTAGTTTACTTAACTTTTGCTGATAATTTACTCACCCCCATGTCATCCAAGATTTCCATGTCTTTCTTCAGTCGAAAAGAAATGAAGGTTTTTGATGAAAACATTCCAGGATTTTCTCCATATAATGGACTTCATTGGGAACCAAACGGTTCAAGGTCCTAATGACAGTTTCAGTGCAGCTTCAAAGGGCTTTAAACGACACCAGACGATGAATAAGGGTCTTATCAAGCGAAACCATCGGTCATTTCAAAAATAAATTAAAAAAAATTAAGTTTTATAAGCACAAATGCTTGCCTTGCTCTGTTCTGAGATGAGCGTTCGTGACTCTCCTGTTCGAACCCGTTCATCAAAATGAACAAATCTTTTTTCGAGTCATGACTCGAAGGGTCCTAGATGAGACCCTTATTCATCGTCATTTGGACCTTGAACCGTTTGGTTCCCATTGAAGTCCATTATATGGAGAAAAATCCTGGAATGTTTTCATCAAAAACCTTAATTTCTTTTCGACTGAAGAAAGAAAGACATGGTCATCTTGGATGACATGGGGGTAAGTAAATTATCAGCAAAAGTTTTTTAAAAGTGAACTACTCCTTTAAGATATTTTTGAAATCGGAGAGCTCCTCCATAGGCTTTTATTAAGAGAGAAAAAGAAAATAAAAACTGAAAACTGAAAAGAGAAAATAAAAACAAAGACATAAAACAATGTTTTTTATTTTCTCTTTTATACCTTCTGTACAGACCTCTGTGAAGTTGGCACCCCATAAAACGAAATAATCTCCAAAACTATGCCATTGGTTTGTGCTGATTTGTGCCGTAAAAACGGACATTTGTGCTGGTTTGGATTTTGAGATATTGAAGATTATTTTTTTGGTTGTGTTACGTCACTCTCCACCCCATGTAGTTCAAATCGCTCCACGATTTTGTGCCGTTACGATGAAAATTATGTATTTTTCCCATCCTTAGAAATAGAACATTGGATTCGGGACAGTGACGTCACTCCACCCCACCTCGTCTAAATCGTCCCAAAACGGTGCCTTTTGTTTGTGTTCGATTTGTGCTGTTTTGTGCCGTAGAAAGAACCATAAAAAATTATACAAATCTTCAGACATCACAAAATCTTTGGAGGAGTAGTGATAAGTGACGTCACGCAAGCAAGCCGCGCTCTCCATCTCGTCAACAAACCTGTCTGGTGCGTTTGTGCTCGCACAGGGCCGGGAGTCCGCGACTGCTGTCATTGTTCTTTTCTTCTTTAGATACGAAAATGTTTTAGTGCCAGTGATTCCCGAGGCTTGCTGAACAGTGCTGCTTGAACGACGCAGTGTCTCGTTCCCTGTTCTCAGGGAACAAAGGTTACAGTCGTAACCTGAGATGTTCCCTTTCGAAAGGGAACTTGCACTGTGTCGTTGATGCTTTGGGGAACGATATACCAACATCACCATGCTGAGGGAAGTGCATGGCAAATAATGGCTGTGAAAAAAACGTCAAACATGGCAGTTTCACTAAAATGCCAAAACACTCCTCCTCCGGGTCACAAACAGGCTGTCCCTGCGGCCACTGCCCAAGCTATAAGCCTCAAAAAGGCCTCCAATACAATGAAGGCCTACCCCGAAAGCTTCCATGGAAGGGGTTCATTTAAGGGAATATGGCCAGGGGGTCCAAAGGAGTCCCGCCCGGTCATTTTCTGAGGGGGACATGAAGTCAACCTCGCATGCCACCAGGGAGGCTGACCTGGTCTAATTTACTGACCTAGTCTTGCTAAAACCCGTCTGTTTCCTAAACAGAGTCTCTACCATATCTTGCCTCACTTGTGGAGGCATCCGATAGGGAGGACTGCGGATAGTGGTAGCAATCGCTCTCAGACCGGATCATAGAAATGGGAATCCTGGACAGTAGAACTCAGCATAGCGCTTTCTAACCCTTGCAAATGAGGGGAGTGACTCTGCTCGATCCTGAACCTACGCAGTGCTTCAAAGCCCCGTGGAGGCTGGGCACTCTTAAAAGGGACCCTAATGAGGGGAGCGCCTCCAACTCTAGAGCTGATCTAACAGGTAGGCCTCATGAGAGAGAGAGAGAGAGATGACCTTCCAACCAGACTTAGGTAACTAAGTTTTCTTACAGCATGGTCCTCAGATAGATTCTGGAAAACTGTGCTCAAACCTGATAAGTATAAAAGTCCTTTTGGGCAAGTCATGCCACTCGGCCACCGTATTGGCAACGCCTCCGTGGTGCAGCTATTTTGGACTAACAAGACCAGGCTCCTACTGTATCTAAATGAATGGGCAGAGAGTCAGAACTGCACTTTCACTGGTCACCAGGAAATAAAAACGGCATGTATAGAAACAGCAGTAAAATTTGATAAAAATCGCTGTAAAAGTTTGATGACTTTGCCCCAAAATAAGGTTTAAAACACCTTTTTCCCCATAGGTTATAATTTTACTACGCACGCACAAGGGTTCTCTCCCTCTCTGTCATGCACGCTAGACGGTTTGAAACACAGTATGTGCTTGCTCACTTTAGATTCCGGCCGGGAGATTTGAACTAATTTGCGGACATCAGGGAGCCGGAACTTCCGGGATACTTGGGATGTCTGATATTTACACAACTCACACATACACTGTATATCAAATCTGCCGCCTTTTCAAACAGTAATGTATTTTCCACTGTCGCAAACCTTAACTCTGCACATGCATCGGTGGAACCAGACGATAGGCTTAAATGTTTCCCGGCTTGACTGTTAAAAGCAGATGATTGGCTTTCCAGCGAGAGGGGCGGGACATGTGCATACAACCGCCTTTGGTGTTACGGGTTTTCCCTATATAGTTGTATTAAGAATTGAGGAAGTGGCATGTCTCTATATAAATAGTCTCTTTCCACCAAAAAAGAACTGGTTCGGAACTGGTGCTGGTTCAAAGTTGGTTCGGAGGAACCTTTTCAGAACCTGTTTGTTTTTCCACTGACCAGAGCGCCCAGGGAACGACGTCGTTACGTCACTGTGTACGTCGCCATGCGTCTTAGCTAGAAACGCTTGAAAGTACAACATTACTTTGGGATTATCTCTAACTCGTGTACCAAGAAAGCTTTAAAAACAATTGAAATATGTAAATCTTTTAATCTTTTCCTTTGATATGTAATCTTTTCTGATAAGTGATGTATCCCTGTCTTGTGTCTTTTTTGTTTCTTTCCATTTATTTGTTCTAGATTGTGACTGTTTTCTTCTTTGTTTACAATGTTTTCAATAAAAAATAAATAAATATAAAAATAGAAACGCTTGCGCCAACTTCAAGCATAACAATTACAAAGGCAGTGTTTCTGCAAATGTTTCTCCTGGCTTTGCGATCCATTATTGTGATCAGAAAAGATATTTAGAACACATCTAAACCTGCCCCCAACCCCCAACGTAAGGATGACGGGGTAAAAGAACGGTTCTAGTCCAGAAAAGAGTTGGTGCCGCTTTGGAACCAGTTCTCCTGGCCGAGAACCGGTTCTTTGGCTGCCGAAACACAAAGAACTGGTTCGAGTGCAGGCACCGGCTCCGAACCGGCTCTCAAAATGCG